CCTTTTGGTTGCAAATTAGCTGTTGTCATAAATGTAAAAGAAATAATAGTGCTGCACCCTGTTGGTAATCCTTGTAACTTTAATGCTATTGAACATCATAGAACAGAACCAACTTGTTTAATTGAAACAGCTGTTAAGATTCATTAATTCCATTTCTCATGGGAAACTCCAGAGCCACTGGGGCGGAGCCGATTGGACGGATCACGAAATTGATGGTGTATAAACCTATTCCATGACATTCTACACGTATGTACCAAGTTTCGTGGCAATCGGTTCAGCGGTTTCTGAGTTTATCACTGCCAAACAAACAAACAAATATATATACAAACATCCTCTTTTATACTTATAGATGAAGCAACTGTTTCTTGAAGAACTGTCTGTAGCTTCATATAAATGGTTTAAACTAACAGCTGTAGGATTATTATTATTATTATTATTATTTATTGCCTTCTCTGCACAAATATAAACAAAACAAATAATGGCCCTTTAAGAGTGAGTTTAGAATTTGCTTTTAAACACCGGCAACGCAGTTTATTTGGTCATTACGCTTTTGATACCAGATAGCACGTTTATAGAATGTTTTTTTAACTAATTAAGCTTTGTACTTTGAATCAGATGTCCATGTGGCATTAGTGAATAAGGATTCTTTCATTTCGTGCTTCGTGGAATATACAAAATATCACAGTCAGGGCCCACAGTAAAATATGTAACAATTGCTACTAAAGATTTTTGCGTAAGACGAACGTACTATTTGTGGTAATCAACAGCTTGAGCGAACAACTACTGTTAGTAAGAAAAATGCTGCTACCTGGTTGCTACTTACTACTGCACTGAAAGAAACTTCACTTTTCACGTTAATTTTCGCGGTTTTAATAGCTTTATTCTTATTGTTATTATACTTTTCCGATGAGCTCGGTTATCTACGGAGGCTTGATCAATTGGGGCTCAAATAATCGTGAGTCTGCATATGCTGTATTGGGGAAACCTAACCTCATGTTCAAATGTTAGAAAAGTCATTATAACATGTACCATACCATATTTACTCATATTAACTCAGTGTGTTACTTACGAAAAAAAAATATTTCCATATTAAAGTTAATTAAAATCATTGAAACCCCTTTATTGACAGTACAGTACACTAATACGAGTCCCGTATATCAATTCACTACTGACAAAATGTGTGCGGCACATTTAATCTAAATCTGGCCTATCTATACCGTAGCTATTATTTCCCTCGCGGTTCAATAACCTGGCTTTAAAGTCAGGGCGTCCTCCCCCCATGACAGGTAGACGGGCAATCCTAATCCCTTGTTTACAAACAATAACAGTGTCTTTGTGAAGGGCGACCACCAGGGACTGCTGGCATCCTCACGCTATTCAAATTACGGGGATTTCTATATTTGAGTCTGCAAGTTATGTGGCATTTCCAACTGTCAATTTGGTCTTCAACATCAACGTTGACATTGACAAACGAGCGGACGTACAGAGAATTTGAGGAAGCCGGAAAACTCCACGCTGGGAGGGTTTCGAATATTTTTTCAAGCACCTTTTATAAGATGATCCTTTTTTGAAATAGGACAAGGCCATAAATAAAAACTAGCGTCAGTGCTGTGACCCTTGAGACATTTAGGGGTCGTTTGTTATTAATGACAGTTCAGTTAACTACACCACACCACCTGTTTCTCAATCCTAATATTTGTAAAGTAGGCCTACTGTTAGTTAGGACCAAGCCTTGCTCAGTAGTATTTTGATTTCGAGTAGTTTTTGTTGTTACTGTTGATCAAGATTCCCTAAATAAAGCGTAGGCCTACTAGGAAAACACATGCGAATTGTTAATGTTAACACGAAAAACAATTAATATAAAACGTATTTTATTGTTTCTTATGTTTACAGAAACTTTGAGCGAACTGTACATTACAAACTAGATGACCCGGCGAACTTTGTACCCCATAAAAGTAAAAAAAACCAAATCAACCGGCCACCTTTATAAGCCTTTTCAAAACAATCACAGACAACATAAAACAGCTGAAAATGACTTTCAATTACATTACCTGTCAAATGTTTAATCAGCTGTTTCGAAAATATTTAAATTAATGTATGCATATGGTCAAAATCCATCATATTTTTCTTCATACGCATAACATACATATGTGGGGCTTAGCCCTAGATTTAAATACTGAACTGAAGATACATGTGTTCGGGTTAAAGACGAATCCAACAAATCATAAATCATTAAAAAAATCCAGCCGGTCTCGAGTTACAAACTGCTTAACTAACACGACATCATGGCATGTAGCCTATATCTAGATGCATACTAAGAAAGTGTTTAAAAAACATAAAAAAACACAAAATAATAAAGATTTTGTATGCAAAGCATAATTATGAGTTGAGTAAATTGATTAAATAGTTAATAAAAACTTATTTTGAAAATAAAACAAATTAAATTTTTCTTGGCCGGGACGGGTCTCGAACCCGGTACCATGGACATGTGAGCCTCACGGCTTACCTCTGAGCTAACTGTGCTTGTTGATTGAGAGTGTTTTCAAGTGGTGAAAGAGTAGCCGACAGGTGCAATGGTCACAATTAATACTTTAAATATTTTTGATGCTACAGTATAATATGATTCTGTTAATCTGTTTAGGCCTCAAGTAGTTGAATTGTTTTGCTGGTAGTTGGAGAGGATACTAGTATTTGAATATAGATTATTTAATTACCATTAGATTAGTAGGCTACTGTTATTATTGATTGTTATATAATTAATTAATCTTTTCTCTATAACTATTAAAAACTTGCTTAAATAAGTTAAAGAATATTAAAAAAAAAAATTAATTATAATAATTATTATATGTCAAGCAGGTGTTCCCCACTGTATCTAGTATCACAACATCATCTGACTACATTCATTATTGATCCAAATTTTTACAATATTTGTCTTATATTCTGCTGCCATAACATTTATGTACTTTTAAATAAATCAATTTGTTAAAACTCGTTTTAGAATGTTTTATACTTAAACCCAACGAATGCCCAACGATTCTTTCCTTTGTAGGGCCAACGAATACCAGTTTCCGTTGGGCCAACGTTGGCAAATCGTTTAAAATTTCTGCCAACCATTTCCCAACCGTGCCGACCATTTCCCAACGTTGGGCCAACGATGTGTGCTACTTGGGATGAGGCAGAAAATCCATCATTGCGACCACTTTCAATTTCCATAGCTTTATATATTTTAATCCACGTAAATTTCACGCCTTAATAACCCCATTTCAGAAGATTTGCATATTCAGTGTAACCATACCTCAATTATATATATATAACTAGCTGTAACCCGCGGGCTTTGCCCCGATTAACTTCTTAATTTTCAATATTATCTCGTTCGCATGGCTCAATCACGTCCTGGTTAAAGTTTGTTCGCTACGCTCACTCACCTTTAGGTTGGAGCTCGTTCGCTGCGCTCACTTGCCTTAAGGTTAGCTCGTTCGCTACGCTAACTCGCCTCCAGGTTAAAGTTCATTCGCTACGCTCACTCACCTTTTGGTTGCAAATTAGCGGTTGTCAAAAATGTAAAAGAAATAATAGTGCTGCACCCTGTTGGTAATCCTTGTAACTTTAATGCTGTTGAACATCATAGAACAGAACCAACTTGTTTAGTTGAAACAGCTGTTAAGATTCAATAATTCCATTTCTCATAAGGTTAACATGGGAAACTCCAGAGCCACTGGGGCGGAGCCCGAAAGGATTTTTGAAATAAGAATATGCCTATATGTTAATCGGGAATGTGAGCTATCATCATGCCAAATTTCAGCCCAATCCGACCAGTATTTTTCGCGTTCACTTGTCACAAACATACATCCATACATCCATACATCTAAACTTTCTCATTTATAATATTAGTAGGATTGACGTATTCTAGTTATACATTATTACCTGATTTTAGAGGTTTGGTCCAAGAAGGAAGTACCGGTAATTATTTTATAGGGCAAGCCTACTTGCGTGCAACCGCATCTTGTTTACAAAAAGGTAAATTAAGAAATAAATTACAGCATCTCAAATATATCATAATTTATCACTCTATAATGCATAAAAATATCATTTCATTGAAATAATATTAGTTAACTGAATGATAAATTGTCATATCTTTGACAAGGTGTAACTTCTGAGAGAAAAAACCTTTTTTAACCAGGTTAACGCACACCCCCTTCCGAAAAATGACTGCAAGGTTTCTTTCAATTGTGCCAAATACTTTAGTAGGTATCAGACGTTTTCCGAATTATAAACTTGAGTTTAATGGCATAATATTATAGCCTTGAGGAACTGTAACTTTGATTAGATGGACCATTTACGAAGCGGTTTGTGCTGTTAAAGTTAATGTTATTATCAATGTGTATGCATTAATGACATGCATCAAGTATTGACACATTTCTGTTTTCAAACGTCAGACTAGTAAGTAAAACGAAAAGGTGGGCCTATTGAGGGCAGCGGTGCCAATCTGTCGTATACTGTTACGACTGATTGGCACCTCTGCGGCCGCCGTCAGCTTGTCACCACGACAGATTGGCACCACTCATTTCTCGAGGTTCCAATCTGTCGTGTACTGTTACGACTGATTGGCACCTCTGCGGCAGCCGTCAGCTTGGCACCACGACAGATTGGAACCACCCTTTTCTCCAGGTTCCAATCTGTCGTGTACTGTTACGACTGATTGGCAACTCTAGGAGCGGTGCCAATCTGTCGCGGTGCCAATCTGACGCGGTGCCAATTAGACGCGTATCCATAAATGTGATATATTTAAGGAGAAATTTTAGTGTAAATCCAATTAGGCAAATGGAAATTCGCTTAGTAAATTTACGTTTGGATGGATTTTGTTGTCAGTTGTCACAAGCGCGAGAGAGAGAGAGAGCAAAACCACTTGAAAAATAATCGTGCAACAGCAAGTGAAAGAAGTTTATTTACATTTACACCAAAAGAATGTCATTTTTTACAATAAATATTGTGTATATTAGTAAAGAGATGTACATACAGAAAATATAAGACATAAAAAAAAACACTGTTATTCTTAACAACTTACTTGTTTAAAATCTATACAAATTATTATTATTTATACCCCATTCAATGAGATTCTATGATACAACATTTATGTTTAAAGTTTTTTATACAACTTTCTTAAATATTTTACCTAAGAAAAAAATAAAACATTCAAACAAATGTCACCAAATCAAAATCATAAATTAAACAATAATAAAACTTAACAAAATACATTGCTAACTTAACTGTCTGTGTCCTTACATTTTATAAAAATATTATAATTTCTTCACAAATACAGTAAAGGGCAGTGAAAAGTCACTAAATTACAAAGTTTTCCTTAGACTATATACAATAGTTGTAAGTGTTCTTGTATTAATAGTCAAAGGTAATACTAACACTTAACAATTTTTTGTTACACAACTGGACAATAGTCCAATAACATGTTTTACAAATTACATTTTCAAAACTAATGGTAATTGTACATGTACATTCTCAAACGTCACTAACTACTAGATTCACGTAACTTTAAAATACTCTTCTCCAAACACTTTCCATAAAATAACTATGTGACTCGTGATTAAAAACACGCATAATAAGGGAAAAAGGGAATTAATCCCCGCCTGAAACCAACTAGGTTGTATTGATCTTTGCGATGTCAATGTCGATGATGATAAATTCAATGAGGGCTCGTAAAACGGCATGTTGGCGTAAGAATAGACTTTGTCAAAAGGTGGAGGTGTGAAGTGCATAACCGCATAGGGAGGGAACTGTGAAAATGGACTGAACTGGTAAGGAACGGGGGAATGGAACTGTGAGCGATACATTGACATTGCACCAGCTCCACATTGAGACACACTCTCTAAGTTTTCATTAATAGAAGCCTGTTCGTCATCAAAGTCTTTCTGGTGAGACAAAGAGACAAACCCTGAGCTCTGACTGGAGCATCGAGTCACCGGAATTTGGAATTCAAAAGATTTGTCCAACTGTAGTTTCGGAGGTGTCAAATTGACAGGTTTCGGTCTAAACATCTCATTCTGTTTGGCAGTGTAGTTCTTCATCTGAAAAGGTTTCGACTGGCTTCTAGTAACTCGACGAGGACTGACGTTCAATTTTCCAAAGCCAAGATCCTCCGGTGTGGACTCTTTGGTGGGCAACGGTTCAACACGAGAAGTAGGCTGTGAAACAGCAGATGGAACCTTCGTGGGGAGTGGTTCACTTAGTTTAGGATTCCTGAAAATATAAGTTAAAATGGTGTACATTGATTGGAAAATTAACAATACATAGTAAAGTGATTTACGGAATGAATTATCTTTTAAAAAGTCATCACAAATACAAAATGTTTATGATGTTCTATTTTAAATTGTATTCTGTTAAAAATGTACATTATGCAATGATGATAAAATAATTAACAGTAAGTTTTGAGAACGAATCATTACACACATACTCCTGGAAGCAAATATGATTGGAAATATGGTTTGATTGATAACTCAATTGATCAACTAACTGGTTTTACTCTGTTGATATCCTCAATTTAAAAAATAACACTTCAATGACAAAGATATCTACTCGATCCTTGTACAGTCGGAGTTCTGCTACTTTGAACCCCGCTATCCTGAAAATCTGACTTTTCCAAACTAAAGTTCGTAAATTTATTATTTTATTATTTTTTAAACATTCGTATGAAGCTAACTATGTCACCGCAAATGACGTACAAGCTAGGGATGTCACCACAAATGTCATCCACTGCAAATTTTGAGAAAACTCGCAATGTCATCTAGAACTTTGAAGGAGCAAGAACTTTGCCAAAGCTGATACATTATTAGGGTAGTTAGCGATATCAATGTTCTGAGTGAAGATTCTAGCGATTGAAAGTTGACATAACCAGCAATATATCCAAGAACGGTGGCTTTAATGTCAGCAAAATTTAAGATGTTTCCGCGAGAGGCTGAAGAATCAGGCAATCATACTACAAAAGTCAAAGTAGGTAGTAAAATATAATAGTGAAAGTTGGCGTCCTTTTATGTCTCCATGACAATAGAGAAGCTGAATTTGCATCAAATAAACAAATATTATCATTAATTGATTCGAGCTTTAGAAACATTAAAATGTTGTGAATTTGGCAACATTGTAATTATCTTCTGCATACACTGAAATATTTTCATTATCTCTAGTGATAGCGGCAATAACACAAACATCTTTCGCAATCTCAGCTAACAGCCGTAAACCGTGGTCAAGACTATTTCACCGTAGACATTATCAAAGAATTTCCGGCTAATCTACACAGGGTTTGGTCCCAGATAGTTTGGAACAGCACTGTGAAATAACATAATGTATAATAATTGCTGAAGTCAAGCAATTAATGGCTTTTGTATCTAAATTGTATGAATTTGTAAATTAGTATTTTTTGGAAATAAATAAAAAAATAAAATTAGCATGACTCTTGACTGTAGTGTCAAGAAGTTAATGAGATCATAGCAATAGGCCTAGATAAAACAGGTCTGATATTTCTATAAACAATCCAAAATCTCAGCTTAGGCTTCAAAGATTCAGATCAAAGTAATCTTTTTTATTTCCTTTCTCACTCCCAAACAAAAACTGAGAATCACTATGTAGTCCCACATTTTTCATTTTACCTTTAACGGATAAACTCATATGTTACCAAATCAAGCTAAATATCAACTTTTATTTCTACTTTTTCACTAAAAACACTTTCGTGTGAAACGACAAGTATCTAGCATTTATTAGTATAGCACTTATAATCAAACTATACAATATACACTTACTTTGGCTTGTCAACCTTTTCATTAAGTTTTTGAAACTGAGCTGGTTTTTTGGGAGTAGCTTCAGGTCTGCTTTCAATGAGCGATGTGATCAAGAAAACTATGCTGGCTAGTGTCTGAAATAAAAATTTAACGTTATCGTTGGTGACATAATATCTACAGTAGACGAACCCAAAATGTAATAAAACCAAAACCTCATACAAGAGTTGTTGGAATATTAGTTTAGGACAACACGGTAGCATCAAAACATGAACTCTAGCAATCAATGCCAAATTGCTTGGATCTGTTACTAACTACACTTAGAAAAGTTTGTAGTAGAGTCTTTATTGACTTTGGGTCCGTCTTGGAGGGGTTGGCTCCAGTAGTTGAAGTTTTTCTAGTTATGAATTTCACTAAATATCTCTAGTGCCATGATAATATTTTACTTTATATCACATCACAATTTCCCTGCTATGACAGGTGATTAAGTCTTCAAAACTTGCTTTTTGAGTCAATGGTAAGTTAATTATGTCAACCTCCAGTCAACCTTAAACTATTTTTAATTTTTTTTTTAATCTGTTCATTTTTAGCGTTGATTCCAAAAATGATAATATTTTTTGCAGAAAAGCACCGCTATCGCGAAAAAAAAAAAAATCTTTGTTGTTGGTACTCAAACTTTGCGAAATTTCATGACGAATTCATTGGTGTATTTTTCATTACGATACAACATCTAATAAAGACCGCCAACTGTTTATAACGCTGAAAACGGAAAAACACTATTTTGTCCAAAAGTCATGTTGTGAGTACTCAAATTGTGCGGAATTTCATGATGAATTCAACAGTGTATTTTCCATTACGATCCAATAACCATCCAAGATTGATGTTGTAAAGAAAATGAAGTGCAATTTTTTTTATATAAACTTGGCTTAACTTAAAGAATTAACTGTAATAATTTATAAATAAAAATACTTTTTAAAAATGCTACGTTTTTAAACGTAAGATTTAAAAAGAAAAACGTGGGGCGCATGCTAATTTACAATTAACTTGACCTATTGAACTATTATGATCTATTGCATGCGCCCCACGTTTTTCCTTTTAAATCTAACTAGTATTTATTCTCTCAACATATTTATAAATTACTAGTGGCTTGTAGGGACATAAGTCCCTAAAAAGTTTAAATGTAAAACAACTTTTTGCAATACCGGTATTTAAACAAACTCAGAATAACATTATCTATGTGTCAGAATAGGCATCCCTACACCATATCTTTTGTGTAAAAACCAGTTTGTTGTTCTTCTTTGTTTGCTTTTGTTGATGTCATTTTCAATAAATAATTTGAATCACTCCAGTGGTTTAACATGAAAAGGCAGCAAACATATCATTGTTTGTGAATAAATACTGGTTTACTAAGGTAGCTTTGGTCTTGCAGTTAATGAGGATAAATAAAAGCTTCCCTGTTTGGAATTTTAAAAATTCATTGGAGGTTCGCCTTCAGATGAATTGAAGACGCCTGCAATTTCATCTGCAGTAGGCTTATTATACCTACGACGATCCATATTTATCCTGTCTACAAAACTAAGTTCTAATTCACTGTCACCTTGTACATCCATTTCTTCCGAAGCTCTTTTGTAAATTTGTGCAAATGGATTTTCTAATAGAATTTCAGCTAGTTTTGACAATATTTCAGGTTTTAAGTCACTATTTTCTCGACGCCTTTGACGACAACATGTTGGTTGATGTGTCAATAATGTACAATTGGCCATACACGGGGTCTTCATCATGTTGAGGCAGCAAATCTGAGATTGAACGATAAATCTGTCCTTGAATTTTGAAACAGTATGGTCCTTTTCCTGGAATATCTTTCTTACTGGCTGAAAAATAAGCAAAAGCCATCGTACTGTTGCATTGTCGAATGAATTTATACAGTTGTGGGCTCTCTTCAAACAAACTTTTAAGTTCTACATTAGTTTTTGACTGAGGAAGGTTAGGTTAATAAGTCCGTTGTGGCAACATGTCATAAAATGATTATTCGTTAGTTCTTCTCTAAAATGAAGAGCACTACATTGAATGCACTCTTGGTCCAATAATCCTGCATCATGGATCTTACATTTCTCTCGTCTACCATGGGTCTCCTAAAAAGGGGTTATAACATATCTTGATTAAGTTCGTCATTATCTACTCTTGCTCTCCTACGCGCACTGTCATTCCCATGAACAGTTCCCCGCCTTTGTGGTATTCCCCTGGCGTTCATATTAATTACAGTACTTATAATGAAAAGAATATATATCCAGCAGCCTACATACCAAAACATCTTGAATCTCTGGTGATTTTATAAAAGTATGATGGAATATGATTACTCTACGTTGTATATTCACTGCACTAAAAAAATTTACTTACAAAGGAATGCAAATACACCATTTTAGAACCAATAACATTTATAGGTTATTTTAGTTGTATATATTTACACAACCTTGACCTTAAAAATGTGTAGAAATATAAAGAAAACAACATCATTTAAAATAAACTTGAACATATGATTTAAAAATAAAAACAAAACAGAAGTTAGATTTAATTTCGACTCTTTGATTATTTATACAGAATATTTATTCTATGTCGTTTATTCCTTTAACACGACAATAACGTAAAAGCATGAAAAAATTAAACTTGAGTATATGATTTAAATATAAACAAAGAATGCAGACGTTTTTCCGACTAATCTTCAATATTTCAGTTTTATTATAGTTTATACATTTCATAGTTGACTGGCTAAAAGTAAACCAAATGCGTGTATTGATCACTAAAAAAAATAAGAAAAATGAATAGTTTTCCCTCAAAATTCACGTCAAGACCTTTAAAATAAGACCCCTCCCATCCTTCTACGGCCATCCAGTCACTCACAATTTCTTTACAAAAATTTGACTTACGGAATTATATATATAGATTTTATACTTTTTAGTGCGTTTAAAAACGTACCATTTTTAAAAAGTATTTTTATTTACAAATTATTTTCAAATGTTTAGTCTTTAATGTGTAAATATGTTAAATCTATTTTATATGGACTGTTACATTACCAAAACCTTATTATCAGATGTTTTATCTTTAAATTGAAATGCTTGTTTTATATTTTTAGAATATCTCGGGAGCAGAACCTGTACCTCTTAACCTCTGCTCTTCTAACTGTCAAATTTAAGTATTTACAGCTGACTTAAATTAATTGATATATTTACATTCTTTCAAAATTGGAACATAGAATATTTGGAAGCACATGGGGCGTAGCCCAAGGGAAATATGAAAATTAAATTATATAATATTGCATTGTCATCCATTTGTGAGCTATGTTTCAAGTTTCAAGTCTCTAGCTCATTGGGAAGTTAGTATTAAATTGATTGCAAAATTTGTACCGGACAAGAAAGCGAGCGAATAAAAACGTTTTAAAAAGTGAGTTTCGGCTGAAGCTGAAATGATACAAATTTATTACTGTTCTTTTGACTGTTTCAGAACCATCACTTCGTTTAAACTTAAGTTATTTAAAAGCACATTTCATGTTATCCCTACAAAAGTTATAGCTACACAATTAAAAATTACACAAAAACTTTCTATTATTTTTATAGAAACCATTTACTAACTAACCTGCACAACAGAAACAAGGTGGTCGATTTTCAAAGGTGAGTATGGCAACATGAGAAGAATAATCCACAGGAACAAGTTAACCACAGAATTAGCATCCCTCATAAAAACACAGTCTAAAACCTGGACCCCTACTCCCAGCATGGGTAGTAGGTAAGGTGGAACAGCTGTATGGAGATGTTTGATCAGCTGACTTGTGTAATCAGCTGTTGGGTAAGTGTTGACCAGCTGATCCAGCCAGCTGTGAGGTAACGTTGACAATAATAAACACACAGCCAAAGTAGCAATGGCTACCGAGTGCAGGGGATGGCGATGTTTAGCATTTATCTGTAACAAACAATAACTGTCAGCAATTTGGATAGTAAGACACACTTACTGAGACAACTTAAGGTTCTTTGTCACCCCAGGTACACCCCAGGTGTCCATAATAATAGTTTTATTTTCTTATTAATTTTTGTTTTGGTAATGGTATTAATGTTGGCCCATTTATTACGCAATTGCAGGGTTTTATTAAAACGTATCTTAGAAACTTAAAAACACTCTAAAGTATACTGCTTTATATATAATTTTGTTTTGAAAATTATGGGCTTCAATGTAATATATAAAACATTACAAAAAAAAAAGGTCAACAATTTTCGTGGGGTTAACATTTCTCAAAAATTATAAAATAAACGAAGAAAAATTATGTTTGTGATCAATAATTTTTACAATTTTAGGTCTAAAAAAATATTTTAAAATCGCCACTTTGTTCTAAATTTTATGAGAATTGCAAAAATATATTAATATAAGGAAGTAGGTTATGCAAATAAATAAGTTATGGGTGAAAAACAGATTTCGTACATTTAACGTTAGCTAAGAATGCATAGCCTAACCATAGCTAGGAATCTGGACGATAATTTACATCAATATCACTACCTACTTCTTCAGGATCATCAACCAGCCCTTCGAAATCACTTAAATCTTCTTGTAATGCACCATGTATATCACTACTATTTATTTTTAACACTAAAACAATGATAAACGTAATAAAACACATAAGTCACCAATGTGAGGTTAACCAAGTTGTTTACAAATACGCACGTCATCTGTCTGCTACAATATGATCGGAACTAAAATGAAAAGCGTCTAGAAACAGACATCAGGAGAAAGCTTAGAATCTGCCGAAAACAACGATACCAATCTCGATCCAGTTCAATCTAATTCAGTCAGCCCCAGAACCTTCGCCGTAAACTATGTTTGTGAGTCGCAAAAGCAACGCATAACACCACAGCGGGTGTGTTGTGCGTCGCTTTTGCGACGCTTAACACTCGGAGGGTTAAAGCTCATAATCTAGTGGAGGGAAGATTGGTAATTATAAAGGTATTGGTAATACCTTTAGAGATTCACCCCTTAGTATTTAATTTGTTTCAAAAGTTTGCTTACAAGGATCCAGTGCTAATGGCCAACTTTCTTTTAACGGGTTTTAATGTGGATTATAAATTAACAGCTGATTCTTTAGTTTAATGTTTAACCACAGTAACACTATAAACTAGATACAAAACGGTTTATGAAAATACATTTTAAATAGACAACTTTGATTGATGATTTGAACTTGGTTAAAGTAGGTAAATAAACTCTACATGTTATAGATTACGATAAAAAATTTAATTTATTGTAAATTCATAGTTTTATTCACCTAATTAACTGCCAAACAAACTTAATCTGTGAGGTAAAAGGATAATGCATTATTTGTTTCAGCTCCGAAACAAGTTTTGAACCCTATTAAAATGTGAAATTGTGCGCGGGTCCCCCTGTATCCTCTTTAATTAAGGGCTTCTGTTTAAGAGCACTGTAGCTAAATTTTCTTATAGACTAAGCTTACTACACAACAACGTTTATCATTACTTTTGAGACAGAAACAACCTAGGTGCGTAATTTAGTTGAATATTATTAATGCACATTGAGTGCAGAGTAGAATGAGACGATCCGTCTTGCTGTATTTAGACTAATATTAGCTGTTTCTTTAGCCAGGGTCATTTAGTAAAAGCCAAATATTCAAGAATAGCTGCACCGAAGAGCGAACTGGCAATCTCATAATAATGCAATACATTTTGGTTACATCAAATTTAACTATGAGAGAACTATCTGTATGATGAGAACATCAAAATAATCCAATACTTTTGAAACTCTGTGTTCAGGACCATGAAAGATGAAAGATACCTGAGGCTGGTCCAATGGTTTGAATGGCTGCTGTAGATTACTCATATAGAGTTCTTGTTTCTTCATCAGAGTTTTGTCTAAAACTCCCTGGCATCGGGTACAAAGCCTATAAACCCTCTCTAACTGGTCACTGTAAACATGTTTAGGCTTTTCTACAATTTGCATTATAGTGCAGTTATAAATCTTACTTGTTAAATGGTTTAAAAAATTCAAATATATCTAAAAAAAAAAATACTAATACTCTTCAAACTGATGTGGCACATGAATAAACTGGACGGATAATAGATTAGCAATGGTGGAATTTGTAATAAAATAATGAGTCCGCGCTAAAGCAAACTTAGTTGGGTGTTAACAACCAACAAACAAACTTCCCTCACTAAAGTGGGTTGGTTTAAATAACCAGCTGCAGTGAGGTTGGGTTTGGTATATGCTCAGGATTTTTCCAACATTAGAGTTCAAATTTGCGACCACATAGGTTAAATGTTCACGGTTTGTATTTGGGGGGATTTTAGCCAGTATGGGAAAATATTACTGAAAATTTGTGTGAAATATAAAGAAAAAATGTTTCATATAGGCCTACAAAGGTAACAAACCATGCACACTAATGTCTGCAGTAATTGGCCACGGGATGTCATAATCCACCTTCAAATATAAAATATTCACCTCATTATTTTATTATTACATTTGAGAAAGTTTTCAATGAGACGATTAACGTTTTAACTTTTACTAAATACTGTGAAAGCATAGTTCAACCTAGTTTAGGCATACTAGTTGGTGAAACGTAACAAATTTATTAATATAGGCTAACAGAAGTGGGAAGGATTTATTTATTAGGCCTCGCGCTTATAGAATAGGCTAAGACTGGTTATGGATACATACATCAAAACTGTGTTAAAATGTTATAACTATTTTAACTCAAGAAAGAAACATTACCTGTACAAAGTAATTTCCTCGTCATAATTTGCTTGGTTTATGGGGACAAACTGTGCAAGTTGTCTAACCTTTAACTCAAGGTTTAAGTTGCAAAATCTACACAAACTATTAACATTAGGAATCTTCTGAGTTGATTTTGTGCACCATAATCCAGAATTAAACTTCTCGTTGAACTGTTCAGTCAAAACTCTATTATAGCTACCATCCTGAAAATCATGAAACACTCACAAGTTATTCATTATATAAAAGAGTAGGCCTATCGAGCTAAATCATCATAACTTAAACTCAATTTAAGTCAAGCATTCCTTATTTAAAACAGACAAAAAATATGCAATTGTTTACAGAAATCGCCAACAGAGGGTTCCATAGAACCTACTACCAACATTAGTGATTGGTGGGGTTAAAATACGGAACTTCAAGACAGAAGAAATCTATATACCTAATTTAACAACAAGTGTTCAATTTTTAAGTAGCCTAATTAAATGGATCAAAGTTGTAATTTAGGCTATTTGATTTTTTAAACACCTAATAGATAGACATATAGACTTTCAGATAACTTGGGATACACAACTTACATTCCTATCTAGTATTTAAGGTTAGGTTTTTTACTCTTGTATACAGTAAGCACAAGCAGTCTGGACTCGCGGTTCCGTCTCTACTAGCCGTCCTGTGTACATTTCACCCACCCCCTCCACCACGCCTAGCCATGAAGGCAGCTGAACAACCCCAAAGCCGTGTGGGTAAGATGATTTTGGAAATGAGCAATAAACACCCCCCCCCCCTACACCCCGGGCCCTAGCGAGGCCACACGCCCAGACTAAATGTGACTACTGTACATTGGTTACTCTATCCTACTATAATATTACTAGCTGTACCCGCGGGCCTTGCCCCGTTTAACTTCTTAATTTTCAAGATGAGCTCGTTCGCATGGCTCAATCACGTCCTGGTTGAAGTTCGTTCGCTACGCTCACTCACCTTTATGTTGGAGCTCGTTCGCTGCGCTCACTTGCCTTCAGGTAAGCTCGTTCGCTACGCTAACTCGCCTTCAGGTTGAAGTTCGTTCGCTACGCTCACTCACCTTTTGGTTGCAAATTAGCTGTTGTCATAAATTAAAAAAAAAATAATAGTGCTGCACCCTGTTGGTAATCCTTGTAACTTTAATGCTATTGAACATCATAGAACAGAACCATCTTGTTTGATTGAAACAGCTGATAAGATTCATTAATTCCTTTTAAATATGAAAATTCATAAGGTTAACATGGGAAAATCCAGAGCCACTGGGGCGGAGTCCGGGAGTCCGATCAGAATAAAAAGTAAAAACAACTTAGTTTTCCTATTTAATGCCTAAAGAATCGGTGTACCAAATTTCAGCCTCCTAGGTAAATGGGAAGTGGGGGAATTAGTGATGAGTGTGTCAGTGAGGGCTTTGCCTTTTATAAGTATAGAAGATAAATGAGAAAGTTTGGATGTATGTTTGTGACAAGTGAACGCGAAAAATACTGGTCGGATTGGGCTGAAATTTGGCATGATGATAGCTCACATTCCCGATTAACATATAGGCATATTTCTAGTGGTTAACCATGGCTCATTAGCGTCTCGGACATCAGTGAGGGAGGAATGAGTTTAATTTCTGGCATATCCACAAAAACTTTCTTTTCTCGTGTTGACCTCTTGTGAAATGCCACTGGCAAAGGAAAAAATACCCCCGCCGCAGCAAACCTGCAGACTAAGCAAATCAAATTTCCATTTGATTTTCTCTATCTTAGGCTAACTTAATGACATTAGGTTTGATTAGTGTCTAGGTTTGCTGCTACAGGGAGGGTAATAACGTGTTTAGATAAATATCAATAAGTTTCCTTATCTTGGTATGAAATGATTTTTTTTATCATGCTCTGTTCAACGAACAACAATTTGGTTTCAGGGCTGGACGCTCTACTAAGGGGGCCATCGATGGCATGGTCCGCACAGTCTTCAATTGTTTTTAGAGTCGAGAGGCTGCTTGTCCACTTTTATTGACTTAAGCAAGGCCTTTGATTGTGTTGACCATGACATCCTCCTCCAAAAGCTGGAATATTATGGTATGCGTGGTGGGGACCTCAGCCTTTTCAGAACATACCTTGCTGACCGAAGACAGGCAGTCCTATCCTCTAACTGTGGAGTACCTTAGGGCTCAGTTTTGGGCCCTCTCCTGTTTCTCATTGCCATCAATGACCTACCCTTCAGCCTCAACTGTGATGCATATTTGTATGCAGACGATACCACCATTCTAAGTAAGGGTGTAGATGTAACGCAGCTTGCAGCTGCAGTGGAAGGTAGCCCAAGTTTGACCTCTGAATGGTTTTCAGCAAATAAATTCCTTGTCAACGAAGACAAGACACAGTCTATGCTATTTAGCTTGCGGCCTACACCTCAAATGGGAGGAAGCTAGCAAAAACAATTCAAATGTGATGTTTCATGGAGTAATTGTTGATCCCCAACTGACTTGGAACTGCCAGGTACAACATATACAAAACTAAAGTAGGCTTACTTTTTTATTCAAAAAAAATCAAGGAACCTTCTGCCTCTAAATCATCTCAAAAATGTTTATTTTGCACTTGTCCAGTCAATTCTAAGCTAAGGGATAATTCTTTGGGAAATAGCTCCCACATCAATGATGTTCTTGTTGCCCAAAAAGAGATTATTAGAATTAACTTATATTCAACAAAGATCAAAATGAACATTGTAAACCATTATTTGTTAACTTTAACGCTTTGACTGTGATAAACCTTTAAATTTATAATGTATTGTTATATAGTTTTAAGTTGCATGAAACCTTTGCTCTAAAGGGTGATTTTCATTGCTTTGACACTAGGAAAAGAGAAAAACATTGACATTCCTTTTACAAGACTTGAAAAGAAGCCATATTATTATGGGTAAAAAGTTGTGGAACAAACTATCGCCAAGAATAATTCAACTCCCTTACAACAGTTTTAAGAATGCAATTTATGAATGGCTTGTCAGAAACCCCCTGTATAAGATTGATGATTTTTTGCTTTACAACCAATGACATAACCACATATGATTATCTAATTCCAGCCTTGAATGTCTTTTTCAGCCTGTCTATGCTTATTTGCTTTTGTACCATTATTTATTTGCATGATGTGTAACTTTAGACGTGTGTATATATACACAATTATTTATTATTTTTTTAGGCTCTTCAAAATTGTTTAGAGAGAAATTGAAAAATTTCATGTTTTGAGCCGTCAAAAATAAGAAAAAAAATTTTACCTCCACATAACTTATAACCACATTCCCATGGTCAGATTATGCTGGTTCACAAACTCATTTAAGTTTGTCCCACCCTCATCTTATAGCCAAATTTCATCAAAAACGGACAAAAATTAGGCACTCAAGTTATCGTGTTTAGGGATGTATTACATAGGCCTATTATTGATTTGCATATCACAATTTTGCAGGTACTTAATTCTTGAGCATCTACTTCCTTCTTAGCTTAGAACTTGACAAACACCATAGTTTAAACACTGTTGTCCATCGGCTATATTTAGGTTATTTTAATATAGTATTAAAATGGGCCTATAACAAACTTACCGAACAAAATCCATTATATTGATCACAATGTGGACAATACCAAGAGTTAGCACTGTTGTAGGGGACACTGGTGTATGAGTTGCAAAACCAGCAATTAACTTTGATAGGAAACCTTGTCCTGAAAAGAAATAGAGTTGTAAATTGTAAACAGAGATATGAATAAAAATTGGGCGAAACTCTTATATCTTACTCCATTGGATTAGGCCTAGGCTATAAAACAATAAAAGTAGGCTATCAATTCAATTTAAAACCTAACTTTTACCAACGTAAACCAAAACGAAAACTTTCTCCCAAAACCCAAAGTCGGATAGGATCAAAGTTTAAAAACTGTAAAATATATTGTTGTGGGCCTAACATAACCCTAAGGGGGCCTAACATATGCCCACATTCCAGATTCTCTTAAGTTATAAGCCTAAAGTGTAAGGCCTTGCTTAGTGGGTAAAAAAGGAAAGATTAATTACATATTTAATTTTGAGATTAGGTTTCCTTAAGGGGATTCACCACTGAAAAAATACTTTTTTTGAAATACCTACGCAATAAAAATGTCTTAACTATTTTTCCTAGTGTGTAAGCCTAAGCTAGAACCAAAAAATAAAAAATGTGAAACGGCCAAAAAGTTGTCACATACAGGCTACAGCGAATAAAAACTGTTTTTTTCACGTTTTAAGTTACCATGTTTCACTGCTCACGGTCTAATTTTGAAAATAATTATGTAATCTAAATATTTAGGTAGATTTATCATGGTAGCATTAGGGAGTGGTTTATAAAAATCGTAGAGTAAACATTAGACTTTTTTTAAATAATGCATAGGCCTATATACTTATAAAATTATATTTTTAACCTTCCGAGTGTCTCTAGTTTTGGCCTTAATGTCTGCCTATTTTTTGCGCATTTGCAAGGTTTTATTAAAACTGATCTGAGAAGCTTAAAAACAATGTTAATTATACTGTTCTATATACCATTTTGTTTGGAAAATCATGGGCTTCAATATTATACATAAAACATAAGGAAAATTTGTTTCAAAAAAATTTTTTAGGTAAAAAAAATATATTTTGGGAAAAAAAAAAAAGTTTGCGCTCAATGAAATTGTATAAATTATAGGCCTATAAATATTTGAAAATAGCCACTTTGTTCTAAATTTAAGAGGATTACAAATATATAATAATGTAAGGAAGTAGATTTGCAAATAAATAAGTTATGGGCAAAAAACAGATTTCAGTACCGTACATAGCGTTTAGCTAAGAATGCATAGCCTAACCATAGCTAGGAATCTGGCTGATAATTTACATCAATATCACTACCTACTTCTTCAGGATCATCAACCAGCCCTTCAAAATCACTTAAATCTTCTTATAATGCACCACATATATCACTACTTTTGATTTTTAACACTAAAACAATGATAAACGTTGGACAATATCACAAAACATAATTTAACAAGTTTTAAACGAACCTGAACACAGTGCAAACTTTTTCCTGACTTATTCTTATCCCTGTCCTCTCATTGGTCAATTTTAATGTTAGTGGAGAGGGAAAGACGCCACTTGGTCAGTTCCACTTGTATCGTCGTACCGGCAACTCCCGTGTTTCACGGTCACAAACTATCAAACCGCAATTACCGCAAAAATATATAATTTTACCATTCAAATACAGTAATACTTCGTAAAAGTTGTTTTTTAGTTCTTTTATAAACTTTTTAGACAGTGATTTTATTTGATTTTACCTTTCACTTGAACACGTGCTCGAGATCGTGCACAGACTTCGAAAAAGCGTGGTTTCTTTTAGTTTTTACGTACAATCTGGTTTGGTTTACAAGTGCAAGTTTATTTTGATATTTTGGAGAAAAGTGTATATGTGTCATCTTGTGCCATTTTTGACTGTACCATCGTCATCGCCCCCCCCCCCCCCAGAACGTCACTTCAGTTCCCAAAGAAGGCGCCTTCTCCCCCCTACTGAGTCGACTCTCCTCGCTGATCCCTGGACCACGTTGCTGAGAGGCCCTGTACCAGCAGCCACAACCTCCCAAGGACCAAAAGTGCAGTAGTATTATCAGGTACTGTGCTCCAATCAGAATATTACTTGCACTAATTCATTTATTAAGCAAAAGTTATTGTGAACTTTTACGGTGTTGTTTCTTGACAAACTTATTGACATTTGTAAATTCTGAGAAAAACCGGCGCATTGCTGTAACCGAGTATTTCGTTGCAGTTAACATTTGCTTTCTAGTTGTCCGAGAATTTACTCAATAATTATAATTAACGAGCGACTAAACTCACGTTCGGAAGTATATTACGGGCACATTAATCAAACGTAATAAAACACATCAGTCATCGGTGCGAGGTTAACCAAGCTGTTCACAAATACGCACGTCAGCTGTCTGCTACAATTATGATCGGCTCGAGAAAAAAAAGCGCTTAGAGACAGACCTCCGGAGAAAGCTTAGAATCTGACAAATAAAACGATACCTAACTCGATCCAGTTCAATCCGATTTTGTCATAGAGCCTTCGCCGTAAACAGTGTTTGTGAGTCGAAGCATTGACACAAAACAATACACAACGTGTGTTATGTGTCGAAGCTTCGACAAATAACACTCGGAGGGCTAAGCAACATAACTTATTTACCTCAATTCTAACTGAATATTTAGTAAAAGATTAACTTAATATGTGGTGAATATATGAACTCTCTATATCAATTGGTTCTCAAGATAGGCTATAGGCCTAAGTTATCGGTTTTTGTCAGAAAATTTGTTGAAATTCAAACTTTCGGAAAACCACGTTTGAAAGTAGCCTAATAATAATGTGAAATTTCGGACATTGACGTGTATGCCAAAAATGTTATTTTATTCATACTTATGGTTAAGATATTAGGTCTTAGGGTACTAGCCTATACTTATTCTTGTTCAGTAACTTAGGTTCCAAACGACATAGGCCTAATCAGACCATAATCATAAGAGACCTTTTTTGACAATTTTATGATTCTTCACTAGTATTTTCAATGGTGAATCCCCTTAAATGGATTTATTAAAAAGAGTGTAGAATTCAGTCTTACCTTATTTTGTAGTAAACTTTTCCTATTAACAGCATTACAACGGAAAAGACAGCAAGTGCCGGTAAAATAAAATTAGAATTTTCAGATGCAACGCTGATGAATTCTTTGTAATAAGTTGAAAGTACTTGGGTCTCAATCATTTTTGTGTGTTTTTAAAAATCCAGTCACCTATAAGATAAGAACTAAAACTTAAAAATGATTTAACAAAAATATTTGTTGTTAATACAATGATCAACACTAGCCTAGCGGCAACATAACCTCCGAATCGCCGCGAGCCGCAAGAAGAAGACCGCAACGTCCGCAACTGCAAAGTGCAAAGTGCAAACTGCAACCAACTGACCAACCAGACCAGTGTTGAACCAGACAGAACAGAACAAGAAGAACAATAATACAAAACAACGGCAGCCGCAGCGGGCAGCGCAGGAGGAGCAACACTCAACAGGAGGAGCTCAGCCATAGCCAAGGCCCCCCTAGTTTAAAAAGACCCCACTAGAATAAAAAGTGGAAAATAATTTATGAATAAAAAACTTTTTTTAAAACAAAACGTTTTTAAACGCACTAAAAACAAATTGAGAACCTCCTCCTTTTGTTGGTAGTGGGGAAGTCGGTTAAAAAGTAGAAAATAATTTATAAATATGTGGAGAGTATAAATACTTGTAAAATTTAAAACGAAAAACGTGGGGTGCATGCAATAGATAATTTACAATTACCTTCACCTATTGAACTAATGTATTATTATCCATTGCATGCACCCCACGTTTTTCCTTTTAAATTTTACAAGTATTTAAACTCTCCATATATTTATAAATTATTTTATACTTTTAAGTGCGTTTAAAAACGTTTCGTTTTAAAAAAGTTTTTTATTCATAAATTATTTTCCACTTTTTAGTTTTAAATGTGTGTGTCTGTGTATGTTAAGTCCATTTCAAGCATCTATATCCGATTAAGACAGAGGCATGTGGGAAATCTAAGGTTTATTTGATTTTCTTTTCATATAATTATATATTAGATTGAATTTATGGCCTACCTACTAACTATAAAATTATCAATATATTAAATTTATTGTTTACTTTATAGAATACTAAATAAATAACAATTGAAACTATTAACAAACACCTTTATATCTGCAATTAGATTGTTTATCGTTATTTTGAAATGTTTGTTTATATATATATATATATATATATATATATATATATATATATATATATACTAGCTGTACCCGCGGGCTTTGCCCCGTTTAACTTCACATGTGAGCTCGTTCGCATGGCTCAATCACGTCCTGGTTGAAGTTCGTTCGCTCCGCTCACTCACCTTTACGGTTGGAGCTCGTTCGCTGCGCTCACTTGCCTTCAGGTTAGCTCGTTCGCTACGCTACCTCGCCTCCGGGTTGAAGTTCGTTCGCTACGCTCACTCACCTTCCAGTTTCAAATTAGCTGTTGTCATAGATAAAAACATACTCCCTTAGCTGTTGTCAAATATAAAAAAAAATAATAATAGTGCTGCACTCTGTTGGTAATCCTTGTAACTTTAATGCTATTGAACATCATAGAACAGAACCAACTTGTTTAATTGAAACAGCTGTTATGATTCATTAATTCCATTTAAATATGGGTACTCATTAGGTTTACATGGGAAACTCCAGAGCCACTGGGGCGGAGCCCGAGAGTCCGATTAGAATAAAAACCACTTAGTTCTCCTATTTAATGCCTAAAGAATCAGTGTACCAAATTTCAGCCTCCTAGGTAAGTGGGAAGTGGGAGAATTAGTGATGAGTGAGTGAGTCAGTCAGTCAGTCAGTGAGGGCTTTGCCTTTTATATATATATTTGTATATATATATATATATATACCTCTTAACCTCTGCTCTTTGAACTGTCAAATTTAAGTATTCACAGCTGACTTAAATTAATTGATATACAGTATTTACATTCTTTTAAAATGTAAACAAGGAAAATTTGGAAGCCGATGGGGCGTAGCCCAAGGGAAATATTACAATTAAATTGTATAATATTGAATTGTCATTCATTTGTGAGCTATGTTTCAAATTTCAAGTCTCTAGCTCATCGGGAACTTTGTTTAAAATTTACATCAAAATTGGTAGGAAAGCGAGCTAATGAAATCAAGCCCATGAGGCGTAGCCCAAGAGAAATATGAAAATTAAATGATATAGTATTGCATTGTCATCCATTTGTGAGCTATGTTTCAAATTTCAAGTCCCTAGCTCATTGGGAAGTATCAAAATTTGCAAGAAAGCGAGTTAATAAAAACAAGCCCATGGGGCGTAGCCCAAGGGAAATATGAAAATTAAATGATATAATATTGCATTGTCTTCCATTTGTGAGCTATATTTCAAGTTTCAAGTCTCTAGCTCATCGGGAAGTTAGTATAAAATTGATTGCAAAATTTGTACCGGACAAGAAAGCGAGCTAATAAAAATGTTTTAAAAAACAGGCCATGCTGCAGCACGGGCAGCGCAACACTACGTCACAGTGGTGGATTTACCATTAAAATCTTACAAACAACCAGCTTGTTTATTTACCTAAAACATATGGAAATGGTGATGGCAATGAATTTATCAATGAAATCCATCCATGATTGCAGTCCACGGGAGATATTTTTAACACGACTTTGCCGCAATCGCAAGTGTCGATGATGATGTCCCCGTAATTGCTGCTTCGCGGGAGATGTTTACGATTTTGCCACGGTCGCGAGTGTTGATGATGATGTCCCCGTGATTGCGGACCGCGGGAGATGTTCACGATTTTACTGCGGTTGCGGGTGACGGTGATGATGTCCTCAAGGTCACAGCTCACAGGATATATCCACGATTTTGCCACGGTCACGAATGTCGAGAATGATGTTCCTTTGTTGCAACCCGCGGGGGATGTTTACGAATTTGCCGCGGTCCCGGATACCTATGATGGCTTTGACTTGGTTTAGGAGAGATGTCCACGATTTCATCCACTATCATGGGTGTCGATGATGATGTCCTCTTGATGCATAGGAGATATTCACGGACACTATTACTTCCGCGATTGCAAGGAATTTCCACCACAGGCTCAAGTAATTTGGCCTAGGGCCGCAAGTACCCTAAATCCGGCACTGATCACTGAATACCTTGTCTCTTGTTTGTCAATGTCTCAGTACCGAAGACGTGTGATTATTAAAATTCATTGTTAAGCCCATAAGCTGTAGATGATTATTGTAAGAACAAATTACTTACGTCAATGGCTCAATACTGAATGGTGAATTTCAGTCAAGTCAAAACAGGTTTCGACACGTTGTGTCATCATCAGCTGAGTACTTTTACTTATGAAGTGTTGTATTCCACCAGATGTCTTCATCATAGTTCAATAAATTAACACATAAAACACGTAATTGACACCACACGTAAACATTTAAAACACGTATAGAGACGTTGCAAGCGTGTTTGGACGAACATACAGTCACGCCGCGGGTCGGGGACAGACTGAAAAATATATTCGTGTGATTATATATGACTTATAAAAAAAAAAATGGAAAAAACGGATTAAGAACAATCACACAAACATGGTTAACCTGTGTATCCTCCATTAATTTTATTATATAACATTTAAGCACTGAAATCCAATTTATAACTGAAACCATAAAATATAAGTTTATATTGAAAAAATCGCATATAGCATAAGCACCGTATGAAAATATTGGAGGAAAGATCCACTTTATTAGATATGGGGAGTGGGCTGGTCTAGTGGTTAGAGCGTGGGACTTCAGTTCCTTAAGCAGTGGCGGTCCCAGGATTTCATTTTGGGGGGAGAAGTCCCGGGCTCAAATCAGTCAAATCCCACCAAATCACCAATGGATTTTATCTAAAAGTGATATGCCGCACCCCTAGGTCTAGCTTGGGGGTCTCGTGTCTAGCGTCTTAGGAAAAAACCTCATTAGATATAGTACGTGATCAATGAACGCAGTTTTACTCGTTGTCTAATGTACTGTCAATCAACAAATTAAATTGGTCTGTATGTTTTACAAAAAGCAGATTGTCAAAGTGTCAAACCGGGTTCACTGTGTATCGCCCGGTGGGGCACACGGGAGGGACTAAGGCTAACATATCTTGTAGTGTCAGCGTTCGCCGCTAGAACTGCTAAGTTGAAAAAATTTAATTTTTTTTAAATTTTAGTTATAAAATTAACTTTTTAACTATAAAATATTGTTTTAAAATTATTAAATTAATTTTTAATTTTTAGAATTAAACTGTCATAACATAACCTAACCAACCAGACTTGCTGATAATAACAAAAACGATATAAGATACAAATCTAATTAATGATTACAGTACTTTTAATTTTTAATTAATTATAAAACTAATTTTAAAATTTAGTATTATAAAATTAAACTGTTATAACCTAACCTAACCAACCAAACTTGCTGATATGAAAAATTTGTTGACAAAAAGTTTGTGTTGCCAGCGGGATTCGAACCCGGGACCTCTTGAACATCAATCCGAAACGCTACCAACTACGCCACGAACGCCGCTGAAATCAAACCGTTTCGTTACGGTAATCGTGTTGCCTCAAGAGAAGACATTAGCCACTAGAGAAATGACGTCACTACACCTTAGCCTTAGTCCCTCCCGTGTGCCCATTCCGTGTACCGCCTGCTTCAATAATTTTTGTTTACGTGTATGTTATTAGGTTAAAATTTTAAATCAATTATTTATTTAAAGGCTAATTTAAGTTTTATAGTGGAAAAATATAATGAATTTTCTAAAAAAGTTCCAGCCTAGTATAGAAACACTCAAACAGTTAGATGCATATTCAAAGCCCATTGAGGATTTTAGGGTTAAAACTGTTTCTGGAGGGACAGGTAAGAATTTCATTCTGATAGTCTATTATTTGTATGAGTAATATGCCTCTAGGGAAGAAAAGATCAGTTAAAACACAAACTTGGCCATCCCAACTGAGTATATTGCAGGGGGCTTTTTGTAATTCAGTCTTCTAAAAATAAACTTGTAGTCAACACTCCAACTCCAGGTTAAAATCCAGGATACCCTAGTGACCCATGCACTAATATACTTTCTTATAATGTCCCCACCCCTATGTAACGATTAGACTTCCTAGGCTATTTTTAAATGTCATTATTGGTGATAAAGAAATATTGGTATTCAAGAGATTACTGCAATAATTTTCCATTAAAATTAGTTTAGGGAACCAAGTTTTCACAACGTTTCAGGATCTAGAATCTAATTTCATCCTCCGGTGAGAAAGTACCTAAAGCATACAGCGATTACATTTCAAACAAACCCGGCCAAAGCTGTGAAATAATAACTCAGAGAATCAAATACAATTTGCAATAAAATTGGGGTTGACTTCCGTGTCTGTTGTCAAAAACGACCGAATGAAAATATCGATCAATATATCGATTATTCCAAGATCAATTATTATTTACAAAAAGAGTCAACAAAAATTAATCCTCACAAAAAGAGTGTGGGGGAAAACCGACACTCACTCCAAGTATAAATCACACTGTGTAGGTATTTGGTCATCCCCAGTTGACGGTTGTGTTTACAGAAAATTGTTTAGAAGTACAAAATGAGCTAAAGTGGCTTTAAAGGAGTTGAAGAAAGCCTTGGACGTTTGCACAACAAGACAAGAGGATAGTGTTCATTGATATCCATCGAGATACCATTTAAGTGATGGAAGCTTTGCTAGCTGATCGACAAGTTCTAGACTACCAGGATTTACTGCTGTGCTTGGCAGCCTTATCTTATAGCCATGCAGTTAGGCCAATCTCTCATTCAGTCAAACCCCAATACGGATGAAATATATCTCTAACTGTACTCATTGCCTCAAACGAGACGATGGCAGTGGTTGAAGTAAAGCTCGCAGTACTGTTGGCAGATTTGACCAAAATTGGTTTGCCGCCACAGCATCTTGTTGAAGGCTTTAATTAGGCCTATGTTAATCTATGGACAGCCCTCGTAGATCAATTGCAAATATAAGTTGCAAGATATACCGTAATTTGTTTCCAACTTTAAATGTTTTTTTTATAAATAGGTACTCCTTTTATGATTCCCCTACTTTTTTCATATAGGTTTTATCTATCATGGTCTTGTTTCAGCCTCGATTCTTTGTTGGCTGGTGATTGCAATATTGCTGAGTAAGCGTGTCTATGAATTTGCATTCAACACAGAAACAGTGGAGATGATAGTAGTTGATACTTCTAGTGGAAGCAAACTGCAGATTAACATAGATATTGTGGTACCAGCTGTGTCGTGTGATTGTAAGTATATAAACTAGCTGTGTACCCGTTCTACGGACGGGGAACTTGTAGTCAGTTGAAACCTTCTTAGAACAGCAATTGGTTTGCATATTTAGTGTACGAATTGTTCCAGATATGCAGGCAAAACTATTATAGGATACACATAAACCTTCGCATATACAATACCTGACAGTTTCAAGCCAGAACAAATGCTTAGCAATTAAATGTCACCCGGATATAAATCTTGTTAGGCCTAGTATATTTTATATCCAATGATTAATCAAACAAAAAACCGCTTTATAGATTTATGATGCATAGCTCTAAAGTAAAATTAAAAGCTACTTCCCACTCTGGATAAAGTAGTTAAAATACTACCTCACAACTGCACACTTCATTCAGGTTGACATTTTCATGAACAATTAATTGTGCTGTTGTCTTTTCTGCGATACACTGAGAAATAAGCACTCTGATGCGTTAACAACAGACATACATACAAGACAGAACTTAATTTTACTATGCTTTAACCAAAGTTATAGCATAGTAAAATGCTATAACTATAGTTGATAATCCAAACTTCGGTAATCCGAAAGTCCGCTTAATCCGAAACCAAAAAACATTTTTTTTAAATTAAATTTTTTTTTTAATTTTCTTAAAATTTTTTTTATCAAACTTTTACACAGTTAGCTGTACTTCTTCAAAGTATTCTGTAGCGGCCGGGCGAGATAGACTTTTTTTATAGAGTTTTTTAGTAAATATTTCGCCATTTTTTTTATTAACATTTTTCATTTTTGTCCTGGGTTCCAATCCCGCCAAATCACAAATGGATTTTATTTCGGACTAACGGGACTCTACTGTACAGGTAAAAGGTACTGTATTTGCAATCTTTGTTAGTGTCATGAAATGTTATCATATCGTATTTACTTATCGTGCAGTGATAATGCCGTCAGAAATAACTATTTATTTTTTAATACCAAGATATGTCGAAATGACTGCATACTATATGAAATGAAGTACTAAAAACTATTTAAATTGGTAATTTACAGTAAACCGGACAAGATCTATTGATAGGCTACGTAATCAACGTAAAGCGTAAATAATTTATAATGGTTTGCTCAAAAATGTTTTACTCAAATGTGTTAAAATTTTCATAGCATGGAATAACATTTTGGAATCCAGACAGGAAACGGAATACAGGAAGATATAAATTAATTTTAATATGACTGTAAGAAATAAGATGCAACAACAACAATAACTAAGTTGTAAATAGTGATGTGTTGCTACCTAAAAGTGTGCTACTATGTGTAATTAGGTAGGGCTACGCACCAATAGGAGTTGGCCCATAAGCCTGTTTGCGGTATGGTCTAATGATGGCATCGCAATAGCGGTGAGTTGAAACTGAAAGTGACATATTGGAAAAGTGAGTTTAGCAGAAAAACACCGTAACAATCACAACAAAATCGTAAAGGTCTTCTGGGATCGCAGCAACACCCGCGATCACCCACTGCAGTTGTGATTATTTACTTGATACAACAGCCATCAAAACACCGTTAATGAGTGGAATCCTCGATTGTAGGCTATTGGTGACGATTATCCCTTCACGGACGGGTGACGAATATAACCGCCTAAGTCTTTGGCGATAAAGGACTTGTGGCGGATATATCCGTTGCTATTCTACTCATCCGCGGACGAGAGCGGATATATCCGCATAGTTGAAAACGAGTAAAAAATTATTTTGACTGTATGAAGTGTTCCATTGTGTTTATTTTATGTATACTTGTATAACAAAACACAAACAAGAAAATTTTTATTTTTTCCTCTAATTTTTTCCCGTTCTATGTCACGATTTCGCCTGTCCGGGAAGGGTTAAAAATGTAACTTTCCCAGTTCTATAAAATACTGATTTACAGTATTTTTACCGGTTATCAAAACTCAAGTAGAATTTGATAGACATAGAATCTCCAGGTTCATGACCTGGACGATAATTATTTTAATTTTACAGTTACACATTGTTGTACTTCCGATCAATTAAATCCATTATTTTAGTCAAAAGGTCACTTGAGATATCTCACTTGATTCAATGAATGGTTTTTGATTTGCTTGGACAAAATGTGATTGGAAATATTGCAGTAGGCCTATTTGTAAACAACATTCAATGTAAAGAAGTAACGGAACCTTTACTCCATATAATCAACACCTCACTCAACGAAAATCAAATACCTAAAAACTTAAAAATCTCAAAGATTCACCCAAAATTTAAAAAAGGAGACAAAGAAAATCCTGGAAATTATAGGCCCATATCTAACCTACCAACAATATCCAAACTATTAGAAAGAGAAATATACGACCAAATCATTAATCACCTAGAAACAAACAACCTACTCACAAACTGTCAACATGGCTTCCGGAAGAAACGAGGAACAAATACCGCAATTGCAGAACTCTGTGAAGACATAACAAGTATCTGGGAAGACAGAAAAAATGCATCGGGACTTTTCTTAGACCTTCAAAAAGCGTGTGACTCATTGGACTGGGATATACTTCTACAAAAGCTAAAAAAATTACATATTGAAGGAGAAGCATTGGCACTAATAAAAAACTATCTTGACCATAGGTACCAATATGTTGAAACCGATCAGCAAGTGAACAACATAATAATAGCATCCAAATCACCACTTAAACAAAATACAAAAGGCATTCCTCAAGGCTCCATACTTGGCCCACTTTTCTTCCTGATATACATAAATGATGTACCGGAAAAATTATCAAAAGAATTCAAATGTATTTTATTTGCAGACGATACCACCATAATAATACCTACAGATAGAAATAAAAATAACCAACAACTCATAACCACAGCAGTAGAACAAGCAACAACAATATACAATAACCTAAATCTAAAACTTAATACCAGTAAAACTACACACATCAATTTCAAACCAAGCAACAACCTAGAAGATCAAAGCGACTGGACCAACATCAGTATCACAACGCAAGACACCACTAAATTCCTGGGAATAATTGTTGATAAAAATTTATCCTGGCAGCAGCACATCGAACATCTGTGTAAAAAACTGGCCTCTGCACACTATGGCATCAAACGAATTCGCACCATAACCGACGAAGAAACCTCCAGAATGGCCTACTTCTGGCTTTTTGCTTCTCACCTGAGTTACGGAATTGCAACATGGGGATCATCATCTGCAAACAATATGGACAAGCTACTTATCCTACAAAAGAAAGTACTACGGACGATATGCAGGACACACTATCTGGAACATTGTAGACCCCTATTCATCCAGCTCAAAATTCCCACCGTTTTCTCACAATACATCCTAGAAACCATAATCCTAGCAAAAAAATCCAATCCAACACTCCGGTCACATTATCACAATCACAACACCAGACACAAAAACAATATAAACCTGCCACAACACAGACTAAAAAAATTCAGCAACACCCCAATATACACAGGATCTAAATACATAAATCTTCTGCCAGAAAAAATTAAAAATATTTCAAATCATACCACATTTGTAAAGACACTAAAAAACTACCTTATAAACAAACCATATTACTCAACAAAGGAATACATACAAGAACACACTTATACACACACTGGGCTAGCTGAAAGGCTGCCAAGAAGATGAAGAAGGAGAAATTTTGACGACTCCCCGATCTGAGGATTGTGGCGAAGAAAAAAAAGAAAAAAAAAACATATTAGTGACAGCTAGAAGTGAGAATCTTAATCCAGACAGCTGTTCATTATTTCATAAAAAATGACATGTAGTAAACATTGGGATAAAACTATATTTAAGAAATATATTTGATGTAATTTCCAAAGTAATAAGGCCATATTTTACTCGTAATAGCCAAAGACACTCTCACCAATCCAGTGAATACAGAAAAATGATTTGAACCTGGATCGGTTTTCTAGTTTTCTCAGAGTAGGCCATGTGAATTGACATTTGGTGTTACAGACAGACAGACGGACAGACAGACAGACGGACAGAAATTTAAATAAAACTCATTTCGTCTTTCTTAGGCTATGAAACGTAAAAATAACCTAAAACTACATTATTCTACGCAATGTACAGACAAAACTGTAATTTTATTCATATAGGTTGTAATCAAATGGTAATTTTGTATGCATAAAATAAATACATAATAGGTTACGTACTTTTGTCCGTCTTCAGTCATAAAACGGTAGATTGGGTATTACTATTTTCAGTTAAAAGACCCATTTTCAAATCCAAAATATCAAGTTTTATGAAATCTGACAGATGTCTTCATAAGCAAATAAATACACATTGATACTTAAAGTTCATATTTAAAACATAAAAAGACATTTTAATACACGGTAGGATTAAAACACAGGACAAATGGATACAGGTTGCACGGTGGACATTACAGAACTAAGTTTTATGTTATTTTAGATTGTTGCAGACATTTCCCACCATGATTAAGCAAAGACAAAGTTTTCAAACTTCAAGTTAGTTTTTTTACCAATCGTGATGGGAAATGTCACAATAATCTTAATTGTGACAAAAAATTCCTTTTGCTCTCTCCATCATGCTGAGCGGAGTACTGTATGGATCAGCTTTACTATGAAAGCTAGTAAAAACTATGAAACATGGGATGAGTAATGGGTATGACAGTGATTAAAATGGAAAATTAAAATTACCCTGCAGCAATAATCTTGGTAAAGTTTATCTATCGCTTTAATAATAGTAATTTGTAATTTATAAGATTATATTTGTTTTACAGACCTTGCCCTTGATGCAATGGACTCTTCTGGCGAACAGCATTTACATATTGAACATAGTATATTCAAACGACGTTTAGATCTTGCTGGAAACCCCATTGAAGATCCCAAGAAGGAAGAGAGTAAGATATAACAAATAAAAATTATAATTACCGTGTTTACAATGTATAAGACAAATTCGTTAACAAGATAAATATATTGTTCATCATTTTATCATTGTTTACTGTAACAAAATTGTTTTTCTTCAAAGTTTTTTGGTCTTAAGGCATTTGTAATGTTACCAATCTGACTATAAAAAGTGATTGGGAAAATAGTTATACCTGGAAACCAAATATTAATTTTGGATCTTTTTTTATTGAAAAGATTGCCTATCAGTCTAATTGCTACCAATCAGCCAAACAGTTGCCTGTTAATCAGAAGATGCTTGATAATAGAAGGCTGTGAAATTTTGTAACTTGTTTTCATAAAGACAAATGTTTTTGTAAAGATAATATATATAGGTATACGGTTGACTTTTTTCAGTTTAAGTTTTTAACAATACTGGTTTTTGTTTCAGAACTTGGGACGCATAAATCACAGGTAGGGCCTAATTTAATTTAAGTTTCTTTTATTTTAAACTCCATCTTACAAACCTTTTCCTTTTTGGTATTGCCTTGCAACAGGGTCAATATGCAAAAGAGACAATGTTGGTTCACTGAAAATGCCTTAAAATGGATGCACTCCTACCAGGGGTGCCCAGAGGGGGGTACTGTGGTGTGTTTTCGCCACAGGAATTTTGGGGGGGGGGATGTTGTTTTGCTAGCTGTCATAATGAATGTGTAATTTTGTATAAGAAGCCCGAAAAAGTGTTTCAACACACATTAACACCAACAACATTTTGCCATTTGTAATTAAGATTGCTTCTAAGAATGGTAAAAACACACCTTGTCAGACAATCCTTAACATGTATGGTAGTGTCGAATTTTACTTGCTACATAATATGTTTTGGCGGTTCTTTAACTCCACCATCGTCAGGCTTACAAAAATATCCACTTCTCCGTGTTGTCAGAATAACTGAATCAGGATCAGGTTATGACGGACCGACGTGGTCTCTGGAAAGAATTTGGTGATAGTTGAAAATTATTTAATAGTAACAAAGTAAAATCTGGTATGGAAATATGAATCAGGAGTTGAGAAAGTGTTAATTTAAACATTGCACACATAAAAACCTACTATATAATTGCATATTTTAAGACAATTACAGAGATGTGGTTTTTTCCAGATAGCCAGAAGATGGAAACTATATTAAAATATGATAAATTTCTTGATATTGGATGTAGTGACTGAGAATAGTGTTGAAAATATAATGGGATTCATAATTAATTGAGTGATTTCATTCAAAATTTGTGTACTGTCCCTAGTTTTATGTATTTATATATTTCAAACTCTTCCAAAGTATTTATTAAATTTCCTTTTCTGCAGTAATGTAGAATGTCGAGACCATCATTTATAACCAGCATATAAATTGGTTATTATTGTCAATAATTTTGAATTAAAAACTCAATTATGAATCTCATTATATTTTCAACACTACCGATTAGTCCAATGACAGCTTTTGATAACACAGACGACAATCCAGAGACCACGTCGGTCCGTCATAACCTGATTCAGGTTACTTCCAGTCCTGCCCGCGGTAATGTACACCGGGAATTGATAGGCATATCTGTTATTGTTTCGTGTTTTGTGTTTAATGTTTGTAACATATTCTGACGACACCTCCAGAAGTGGATCCTTTTACACACAGACAGACACCACCTCTTCTTTATAATAGTAATAGATAACAAATTAAAAATATCGTGGTTTAAGTCCAAAATAAAGTTGAGAACTTGAAAAGAATAAGACGTTATAAAATAATTATTGAATCACCTGAGTTTCGGTCCCCAAGGTACCTTATTCAAATCCCGCCAATCACCAATGGACTTTATCTAAGAGATAATGTCATAATCCTTTCTAGACCTGGCCTGAATTGATATGGAAAACAATTCTGGGCTAGAACTTAGAGGAATAAAACAAGTACCTATGCAATGTGAGACAAAATACGTAACACTGCAGTCCCGGACTACCAAGACCAAAGGTGGTGAGTCGGTGGCTCAGTCGGTAGCGTCGCGGACTTCGGGCCCAAGGCAGCGATGTCGTGGGTTCGGATCCTAGTCACTGCCGATAACATTTTATCAGTACAGTTCACCTTTGTACTGTAACGGCTCACTCCTTGCTTTGCTGTAAACGATCCACGCACGGGCGCTTAGTCTATGTGCAAATGCAAGGTTAAAAGAGGCCGCAAAAAAAAAAAGAGAAAAAAAGACAGCTGTTGCACAAATTTATATGGAGTATCTGCACAATGTTTAAGTTTACATGTTTGTTATTACTAACTGTAATTGTTGTGTTGTGTAACTGTTGTTGTAATTGTTGGGTACCTAATTTTCCTAGAAGTTGGCAGTGAACATACCAAGTAAGTAAGTCACTAGGTAAATATCTTGGTGTTTAGGGCCAAAGGTATTGATTTTTAGTTGAATTTTACAAACCCTATTTATGTTTATCAAAAGATGTTGTAAAGAGTCTTAATGATTTTACCACACTAGGGTGCTCAAATTGAAATTCCTTATGCAACAACATCTCACAAAAGTGCGTTCTCAGCTTTGTTGGAATTCAATTAACAAGAATTTTGTTTTAAAAGTTGTAATTTAAATTTTCAGAATGATACCGCAATTGCTTTGCCCAAGTGTGGAAGCTGTTATGGTGCTGAAAATCCAGAAAGAAATATTACGTAAGTCAGTTTTGTAGTTTAACTTGACGTTTAGACAACTTTTTCTATTATTTTCTATACAGTATTAATATAAACTATATGAAATTAGTTTTTTGAACATTGAATTTAGAGGAGCAAATGCAATATGTGTTAAAAGTCTTCGTCATAAAACTTAACTATAGTATTAAAAAAAAAATATTATTACTCATCCCGTGTCACTAATAATGGATCAGACGAGTAGGGGATTTATGTGTATTACTGTAAATATGCTTATGACTTTAATTAACAGGTAATCCAAAGTCTCGCCTATGTTTTGGTTAGTGTTAAGACCGGCACACACACAAACAGACTCATGAGAATGGACCCCTGCAGGCGGACAGATTTTCTTTGCAACGCACACGGTCGCAGGAGCCCGCAAACAGGTGGACTATCCCTTCCCTCCTCCACTACTTTGGGTGCTGTGAAATAGTATGTAACAACTTAGTGTGGCGCAGCCGTGATTTCTATAAATGCATTCCATGGCTATGGGAGGATGGTGATTCCATTGATAATGATTTAGATTTGGTGCTGTTGTGCTCAATAGGTAATAGGAAACATTAGGTATATCCCATTTATAAAAAAAATGAATGGGTAATATCATCACCTTATGCAAGATTTGGAGAGAATGAGGAAAAGTTTAGAATATATTTTTGATTATGCAAGGAAGAGTTTTAAGAGAAGTATTGTGACAGGTTTTACTCGATCACAGCAGCATTTGAGGTGATTTCCCGTGATTTCGGCAACATTCAAGATTAGCTTCAGTAATCATGGCAACATCCATGATCCCATTGTCAAGGTTACATCCGTAATGATTTTTCGTGATCTGAAACTCATCTGCGATGATTACCCAAGGTTGTAGTAATGGAGGCAATATCTGCAATATTGTGGTCATGTTCATCAATTCCGATTTATTTTTCATGAAACAAGGACACAAAAACAAACGGTGATTATTGAGGGTGATTTTATAAAATTTGTACGGCACAAAATATTGGTGCTGTAACAAATAAAGTACAACATAAATATGTGTTGAATGACCAACAATGGATGATAATTTTTTTTGTCACAAGCGAGGGGCCCCATGCGGCACACTGTTTGTATGAGCCTATGGCCGGACTATATTTCCAGTTTTATTATCAATCATTAAACAACACTGTCATGAAACCGTGAACTTTAGTAAAATGTATTTATTCCTAGCATGATTTTGCATCAGAAACAGTACAGTAGATAAATTATTCTCCTTGATGTTTTTCAGTTGCTGTAACACGTGCGAAGATGTGAAGAAAGCGTATGAACTGAAGAGATGGTCTCTAGTAGAGATTGATAAAGTAGAGCAATGTAGGTCTACTCAAGATGCAGAGAAGGTAGCTCGGGCTCTCAAGGAAGGCTGTCAAATATATGGGTATCTGGAGGTTAATCGGGTAAGTTGATGTATTTATTTCAACACTTTATATAAACTTTATATTCAACACCATATCTGGTTACCACGGGCTGAGTTTCTGGTCAGATACTACCAATCTATTATAGAAACTATGATTATAGGCCTGCCTAACAATAATGTGTCATCGATGAATTCAGATTTAAGTTAACATAAACTCATATCTAAATAAAGATGGAGGTAAAAATTTAATCGTAATAAATTGGCTTTGATGATTATTAGGCTTTAAGTTTTTTGTTTAAACAATTAATGTACCATAGCTTTCTAAACTGCCCGTAAATAATCAACCAATTGTTTAGAGGTTAGTAAAATGTAACAAACAGACAAACCGTGAGAGGGCTTGAGTCGTAGTTTAGGACATAAAACTAGCAGTGACTGGATCAACCTCCTGGTAAAACAGAGAAACCGAGGCTGGATATTACGGGTTCTACTGTAAATCAATTTACAATTTATTAATTAAGTTAGATTATTTGTATGGTACACAGAAGCACAAGCAGACCAAACAGCCAGTAGCTGTGGTTGCGGTCGTGTGACCGATAACTAAGAAGTTGGTAGCAAAACTAGTTGCCTTTGTGTTGTAAGTTCTATAAGAGCCAAATGCCTGGTGATATTACAAGAAGTTGGCTATCAGACGTTGCTCAACTTGACTGACTTGTGTAATACAGGCCTAAATCATCACTTACTCTGGTGGTCTAGCTGGGCTTTTAATCGAACAAATGTACCTTGGATATGACATTTACAACAGCATCAAATAGAAAAATCAGATAATCCCACGATAACCAGTGTAAAACTCTTCACTTTCTTTAATCCTCTATGACGGAATCAGAAATACTTTACTGTCATTATGCATAACAGTTATGCAATAGGCATGGCCAATAAACATAGCATCCGGATCTTTAAACTAAGCAAAAATTTAGGTTTATATACCAGTGCTACTTTCAAACGATACTTTGTTACTAAAAAAAATTGTTTGACAGTTCCACAGTTTTTTAAAACCTTAATTTTTGTTTGAATATGTATTGTATATTTACTTTTAGACTCACCACTTGATGATGAAAATCTGTTTTCTGATATTCCTCTGTCAATATAAGTGTTTAAAATTGTAGAAAAAGGAGGATAGCAGCTAGCTTACCTTGAAAGTGTGGGTAGGCCATAGAACAAGTAGAAAAACACTATGCACACAATATTTCGTCCCCTAAGGGACTTTGTCAAGTGTAGAGAGAGTTACAAAATAGGGGACTTTGTCAAGTGTAGAGAGAGTTACAAAATGGGCATTTTGTAACTCTCTCTACACTTGACAAAGTCCCTTAGGGGACGAAATATTGTGTTTTTCTACTTGTTCTATGGCCTACCCACACTTTCAAGGTAAGCTAGCTGCTATCCTCCTTTTTCTACAATTTAAAATCCTGGCCTAGAGCCTTTCCTTAAACAAATATAAGTGTTTAGATAATGTAGTACTGTAGCAGTATGATTACAATCTCTCGTAAACTGTCTTATCCAATAATTATTGAAGTTCTGAACAAAGTTGTCATTAACATTGGTTATGGTTTCTACTGCAAGTTGACATGAGACAAAACCAGGTTTTGGACTGGATTAGTGTTCATCTTATCAAATGGACTTATCATTTGACCAGTTCTATAACTGCATATTTACCAATTACGCAGCAACTTTTTACAATTGTAATTAATTATAATGCGAGTAGGATCACAACATACAGTACTTGTATGAACATATATAAGACTTCCAATAAAACAGACTCATTGTTGCAGGTGGGAGGAAGTTTTCATGTGGCTCCAGGACAAAGTTTTTCAGTGAATCACGTACATGGTGAGTAAATGAGAGAAAATACGAGTTTTGGTGTTACTAATCACATTTTTAAAACCTCTTAAGTTATAGGATAACCTGTCATGATTTAGGTTCCTAAAGTTATTGAAGTCTATAGTATTACCATAATTCATTGACATAACTTAATTTCTAGCAATTTAAAATGAAAGATTAAGCTCATCAAAAGTATTTAAAATGAACACTTAAGTTCATCAAAAAGTTAATTACTTTCAAGCTATTAATCTTTAAAGTTCCGCTAAGTCAACTTTGTCGTCTTACAGTGCACGATGTCCAACCGTTTTCATCGTCTGCATTCAACACATCACACATCATTCGTCATTTATCCTTCGGCAAAACCAAACTGGCCGGAGTCAACCCGCTGGACAACTCGCGGTCGATAGCAACCGAAGGTAATGAATCAGACTAGTGATTTACAAAAGAAATTTAATTAGAAATTATATACTAGTTTAAGTCTATACATAGTCTAATGAAACTATACAATTTATTATTGGGTTTGTGAATAATTAGTAAACAAAGTATGATACAATGAAGCAGTCGTCAGTTCAGCAGCGGATCCCTGTCCCAATGGCCATAAAGGTACCGAAAGTTCCTCCTCCTTGGAGCATCACCTTGCCTACGCTGTTGACTAGTTCTCTGCCTCTCAACCCGTACCTGTCACAACAAACAAATATATGTGTTACGTATGAGTGTATTTATTTAAAAATTGAATATTAAAAGTGATTATTCATAGGTAAATTACGAAGGACCACCGCTAATTACATTGCGGAAAATAATAAGAAACTTGAAAACATGTACCTTTACAAACTCCAGTGCAGACGTAGGGGGAAGTGGGAAAGATGGCGTATTTGAACTTCAGATTAGTGTCGGCGCTGTGACGAACCCTTGGTAGTTGGATGTTGGATGAGACGATTTTCGCTCTTCTTTCTGCTTGAAGGCTTGATGTTCGCACGTAACGCTAAGTCTTTTATTGTTCGTGGCCACTTTAATTACATGGAAGTCGCGACACCGCACAGGACACTTTGATTACCGTACTTGATGGTGCATGATTCGTGAGTTAATAAAACGCAAATAAAAATACTACTTGTCACTAAAACAACAAAAATAACTTCAGAATAAGATTGGGCAATATTAATTGCAATAAAAATGAAAACTGAAACAACTTGATGAAATAATGTAAATGGAAATGAGATTAAAAGAGGTGGCCGGTACTAGACCATATTAATAGGGCCGTGGACAGAGAGAGAATGACCAGGATACCTGTCTGAGGCGAACGACAAGCGATAAGGACAATGACATGAATAGAGCGATAAGATTGTTGTCTGAAGATAAAACGGACTTGGGTTCTGTGGCTTTGGCGTTTGGCATTACCATTTGTATTTAAAATAAAATAAATATTCTTTTTTTGAATTAATATAAAGTTAATTGTTCCTTTTTCCTTCTAAATACTAAACAATATGAGATCTTTGTATATGTTCCTAATGTCAAGACATAATGTAAACCTATAATAGTAGAATCTTTTTGACGGCTGACAGCTTTTTGGCGGGTCAATGCAATGATTTTCTCACACGATTCTCAAAATTTCATAATCATATAATCTATAAACTGATTCTGTCTTCAGGTTGGAAGGAGCATAAAACACAAACTGGGCATTAAGAATTGAAATAGCTGAAAACAATACATTCTTAGACTAATCAAATAAGAAAAGGACAGTAGAAACGATTGGAAAACCAAACTCTAGCTGTACAGTTTTGAAGTCCACAGACATATCAGTTTGTGTGTTAACACAATATGTGAATTAAACTTTTTTTGTTTTATTTTGCCTTCGACAAGTCTAAACATGTTTATAGCCTATTTGAATTCTCAGCATTGCATGGATTGTTTGCTAATAAAATTTAAGGATTCTTCCCACCTGAAGGCGGAATTAGATTCAAGATCATGAAACCTTGTGTTTTGGTCATTGATGGAAATGTATGCCTTATTTTATTTAATAAACTTGGTCGCCGAGGGGTTACAAGGCTGGTTCGATTCTAAGCCAGATCGTTACAAGGCCCAGATGTAATTTCACGTTTGTCATTGGGCTACCAACTAATGATGCTGGTCTTGTGATAGAGCACGGTTACTGGATACAAATCCTGCCAATCACCAATTGATTTTATCTAAGTGATAATAGTATGACCCCCTCTAGAAGTGATAGCCTGAAGTGATGTGAAAAACAATACCTAGAGGGGAAAAAACCTACAAATACAAGGCAACACAAAATCAGTACCGTATTGCTGCAGTCCCGGCCTACCGAGACAGCTGTAGGACAGACCTGTATGGAATATCTGCACATTTTTTAGGTTTACATATTTGTTTGGTCGATTCACACACACATCAGTCCAGTCACAGTTCAGTCGCATCCCCAATTTCTCAGTCAACTACCTGTTAGTTGGTTTCACTCAGTCTACAGTCACTACAGTAATGTTACAGTACATAATCTTTGTATTAAAACACAATATTCTATCAATTTTTCATCGTCCATGTTGATGATTGTCAGAAACAGTACTTAAAATATAAATACAATTAATTACAGTATTTAATAAAAACATATTTTTTTAAATGTCAAAAGCATAGGATCACATGGCTGTAAGCATCTGTCATGCGTCAAAACAATCTCAACATATCAGTGGGAATGGATCTGAAATTGACAGACGGACACCGACAGAGCGACTTGGTTTGGAACTATGCCGAAAGAGTGTAGATAGTGCAAAAGAAAATCCATCTAAGAATAAATTTTTTGACTGTGACTTATCTGAACTGTGAAGTGCCAGAACTGATGTACGTAAATAGACCTTTACGATGGTAGAGGGCTGGCAAGTGCAGCTGGCCACATTTGTTGTTGTTATCTTGTATTAAAGGAGATTATGATTACACTCACAAAGGAATATAATAACTAAATTATGTCTTTCAACACTAATTCAACATATTTACACTTGTAGCCTACAGTTAACCTATCAAACTAGTATTGGAAGACGCATTTTACTTATATTTCTATTACAGTGCCAACACACACAATGCTAATCAAGAAGTTATTTATTATGCTAAGTCTATATTAATGCCTTTGTATCAACTGATTTAGAGCTACAGTTTTTATTTCTATTCTTCCCCTTCATCATGTCCTCTAGACTATAAATTTACGTATTATCTACTCACAGTTTGCCGCAATAGAAACAGAGACAAGCAGAACAAAAGTTTTAAAATGATGTTAATTCAATTAATTTAAGTGAGCGTTAAACCATTTTTGCGCTGTTATTTTCAGGAAAATCTAGTTTCTTGTGATATAAAAATTAATCCCAAGGACATGTAAATAATGAATTACTTCAAGAATCTAGATTCACTCGATATTGTTAGTAGCCTAACAAAAGTTTCTTTAGAAATCAAGGATTTGAATTGACCTGTTGCTATTTTGACCGTAACAATTCATGGCTTAACTTATTCCTGATGTTTAATTGACAAAATTCAAAGCTCACTGAGGTTTTAAGGTTTTTGGCTCATCAAGTACTCTGAAATACACTTTGTAAGCAACAAAAACGATACTGTATAAGCAAAAGAATAATAAAACTCATACCTGAGTGCGCTAAAACCACCAAACAGCGCTCCTGAGGCCATGCCCACACAGAAGCCTATTGTAAACCCCATCTTCATTCTATCAAAACAGGAGGGACCTGAAGTTTGGAAAGATCCTGATGGTACTGGCATGTTGAGTTATTGCTGATCTTGACTATCTGAAACGAGTAATGGTGATGGGTATGTTGTTTACTATTGGTTTTTGGTTAGGCTAATCTATTTGACCAATTAGGAAAAAGATTTGTAATCAAATGAAACGATCAACCAATTAACTAGCCTACTGTATTCATTGTCCTACAATGTTATAACCATAATAAAAGTCCAAATCATAAAATCCACCCAAAATAAAAAACACCCCCACCACAGCCAACCTGCAGACTTATCGAATTTACATTTGCCTGATTGGATCCACACTAAAATTTATCCTTAAAAATATCAAATTTATTCCCTATTTAAATCAAATTGGTTTAACGAGTACTAAGGTTTGCTGCAACAGGGAGGGTAAAAAAGTGTTGTTGTTGTAAAATGTTAATAGTTTAGTAAGAAATGGATGTATTTTCTATATTTGATCGAAATATGTTCATGTAAACAAGCAAACTTATAAACAGTTGACTTATTCTCTATAAGAATAACATTGGAATTTTGAATTTAAATTTTTTTTAATTTTCTCCGTAACCATTAAAGGCGCATAATAACAGTTCAATATACTAAATTATTTTTTATTTTTTTTAAGCTCTACAAAATGGTTCGTGGAAAGAAATTGTGAAATTTTGTGTTTTTAGGGTAAAAAAGGGAAAAACCTGTTTTTACCCCATAAAACTGCCATAAACCCCCGTTCCCATAGTCCAATCATGCTGGTTCGCGAACTCGTCCAAATAAATGTAGGTTTACACGTTTGTACCAAATTTCATCAAAATCGGATAATCTTTGCTCAAGTTATCGCGTTAACGGACACACACACACACATATTATATACCGTATATACTAGAGAACCCGTGCGGCTCAATGAGCCGAATAGTATGAAACATAATCCCGAGGAAAACGTTATGCACTTGTAGTTACATCTTAGAGTTGTTTAAACACTTGTTAGAAACTAATTTTGAATATCTGTATTTGCGTCGTCAAGGTTAACCTACATTATTTCTGCTCTAGTTTTAACTCATAACTAACTTCCAATGAATGCTAAACGATCTGCTTAAATTCGAGTTAACATGATGCTACAAAGTTTTTCCAGCAGTGTGAATTGAAGAAAACTGTTGTCTTACTGATAACCTGTGTTAAATAATTTAAGTTGGGTCATTTTATTTCTTTGATTTGAGACATCCTTCAAATAAAACAAATTTTCTACGTAGAAAATCCTGAAAAGTGGAGTGATACAGTATCAACAGCTATAATCAGCTTTGAATAGGCTAAGGCAGCAACACCATTGAAAGTTGGTTAACGTATTTTAACGTGTTGTCTGTCAGTCACAGTATATGCCTCACATCAGAACGTTCTCACGTTGTTCAGTGGAGTTTCTCTTAATAGGTACCTGTCCAAAAGTTTTGAAAATATGGATTCATTTGTCGAAATACGTTGGATAACTCTTGTAGCTATAAGATTTGGATAGCAATTTTCATTTTCTCTTTTTGAACAGCATATATATATTTGCCTCTCCTGAATCATTAAAATAAACTTGACCGTAACTACTCGATCGTTGAATACATAAATAATAATTCCTTCACTTATGTTTGGTCTAATATTGTCACTATAACTTTCAAAAGCAAAGAGTTTTTGAAACTTTTTATTTTTAACTTGAAATGTCTGGATTGTGTTGGTGAATTCAGTCAAAAAACTTTGTATAAGTTTGTCCAAGGAACTGGCAACATAACCTTGAAGTAAACAATCCGTTTGCGTTTTTCCCAATTGAATTAGAGCAAGTAATACAAAAGTTAACAATAAAAACATAAGGTCCGCCAAGATTTGGTATAATCTTAATACTTGAACTTATCATAGTCAAGGCATTATTATAGTTTCTACTAAATGTTTGAAATATCCCGATCTGTCAGTGTCAGGAGTAAACATTTCTTGCATGCATTCATTTTGATCTGACATTAGGCAAGTTTACTTTACCACCATGACAACACTATGTGCTTCGTATATTTTATTACTTTCAAAGTAAGTTGCATAGCAGAGATGGCAAATATTATTCATCTCACCAAGTGAATGTGTATCTGGATGGGTATCTGTTAGACCAGGCCTCTCTTCTATTCTCCTCATACGCATAAGATATCTTATTATTATTGTCTCATCCTCCCGTTTTCAACATTTCTTCTTTGAACTTGAGGCATTTTCTGTTCTTCCCACAAAACTGATTAACTCTTTAACTTGGTCTTAACCTACTGAATATTACAAACCTTAATATTTACTCCCAAAAAGCTAATGAGTTTCTTTTTATAAACAGCTGTTTTTTTGTTTTTAAATTTGTTCTAAGTTTCTTATGGGAAAAACCCGACCTTTGAGAGGGTGTCACGCCCGTAATAGTAGGAATTTTAAAATTCTAAAACCTTATTGCAAAACTACATATTGAGACGAATCTTTTGACACCTTTAACATTGAAATTGGTCCACAAATAAGGGAGGAGTTGCGTTAACAAAAAAAACGGCTTCACGTATTATATATATAGATATAGATACAAGTATATATATGCATTTGAACGGCCTCTAGGGACCTCAAAACGAAAAAGTAAATCTGTCCCGGGTCCAGGTCTTACCATGAGTACTACGGTAATAGGCTAGCTTATTCCCTATGTGGGAAATTCGCTAAAAGTTAGTCGAGTGTAAAATTTTAACTTTTAAGCTGATAAGTCTACTGGAACTATTTGAAGTCGATGTTATATTATGTTTTAATACACTTCCTAAATGTACAACATTTTGATGAAATTTTGTACAAAACGTGTAAACCTATAATTTTTTTTCGAACGGGTTCGCAAACCAGCATGATCGGACTATGGGAAGAGGGTTTTATGGGGTAAAAATAAGTTTTTCCCATTTTTGACTCTAAAAACATAAAATTTCACAATTCCTTTCCAGACCATTTTGCAGTACTTAATAAAAGAAATAATGTTATATATTGAAGTGTTGTTGTATGCCCAACAGTTACAAGTGATGATTAAAAAAACTAAAAAAAAATAAAATTCACATGTTATTTTTATGGAGAATAAATCAACTGTTGTAGTTTGTTTGTTTGGATATTTGATCAAATTTGACAATTTTGTTTATTTCATACTAAGCTATCAACATTTCAATAAAAACACCCCTCCATACCTTCCCTGTAGCAGCAAACCTAAATACACATTAAAATTAATGTTATTTAAAAAGGAAATAAATCTGACAATTTTCAGGGAATATTTTAGTAGAAATCCAGCCAGATAAATGGAAATTCGCTTAGTCTGCAAGTTTGCTGCGAGGAGGGTATTTTTTAAATGGTGACTTTCACATAAAAACTCGTAAAATAACAGAAAAATCGGATTTTCTCGAAAATGGCCTGATCAATTTTTAATTTAGTATATGGTGAACAAATTCATATATATATATATATATATATATATATATATATATATATCAATCATCAGTATATATCGTTCAAATTCATATATATATATATGTGTCCGATAGCACGATAACTCGAGCAAAAATGATCCGATTTTGATGAAATTTGGTATAAACGTGTTTAAACCTACATTTATTCGAACGAGTTCGCGAACCAGCATGATCGGACTATGGGAACGGGGGTTTACGGGGGGTTTTATGGGGTAAAAATAGGTTTTTCCCATTTTTTCCCAAAAACATAAAATTTTGCAATTTCTTTCCAAACTATTTTGTAGTTCTTAAAAAAACAAATAATTTAGTATAGTGAAGCGTTATTATGCACCTAATGTAAATTTAAAATTGCCATGTTATTCTTATGGAGAACAAAAACTGTTGTAGTTTGCTTGTTATGAACATATTTTGATAAAATGTGGAAAATATTTTTATTTGTTACTAACTATTAACATTTTACAAAAAAAAAAAAAAAAAACAGTTTTATCCTCCCTGATGCAGCAAACCTAAGTACTTGTTAAACTAATTCTATTTAAATAGGAAATAAATGTTATATTTTTAAGTAGACATTTTAGTGTAAATCCAATCAGGCAAATGGAAATTTGCTTAGTCTGCAGGTTTGCTGTGGCGGGGGCATATTATTTTCAGAATTTCTTTAAGTTAAGTAGGCTACATGTTATTTTAGAGAATTCACATGTTAAAATAGGCCTAACATTATGTACCTATATCTAATAATAAAGGTAGGCCTTAACAATGAGGAAATAAAAAATACCACCGCCGCAGCAAACCTGCAGACTAAGCGAATTTCCATTTGGCAGATTGGATTTACACTGAAATGTCTATTTAAAAATATAACATTTATTCCCGATTTAAATAGAACTAGTGTACACGTTGCTCGAATTCGAGCAATTGCAAAGTATTAGGCTACAGGAGTTATTTCAAAACGAATAACAGTTATTTTTACAATGAGTTTGAAAGAGGCAACTCAAAGATTACCGGTGTGTAACTCAGACCATGTGTATCTTCGTTATTGGTTAAACCTAAAGCATTCCGGCCGGTTTTCTTATTCTCAAAATGCCTCACTGTACAGGCAACATAGGTCATTGATTGAGGGCCAATTGAGAACGAAAAATCGTTTTGGAGTTTTAGGGCGCATTTGTAACCTAATAGTTGAGATTGTCCAGGGTCAGGTGCTGACTGTGATCAGTTAAGCCTATGACTTTACAACAACACGAAACAGAGCAAACAGAGGCAGTTCCAACTACTGGTAGGGGTTGGATATATTATATTTGTTTCTTTATTCTATTACGTCTGTAGCTGCGGTCGTTATCACGATTACGCCTCCTAACTATGTTTCGTTGTCGTCGGAGGCATTAAAAAAAAACAACAAATAAACAAATTATAGGTACACAAAATAACGATAAATGCACAATTTTAGGTTACAATCATGCTAACACGATCCGTCATAGCGACACAAAACAACGATAAATACACAAATTTAAGATACAACCATGATCCGTCTTGGGGGTTATGTTTACAAAAACTCAAATAGTAAATAAATGTACTCAATGCGTTTCATTGAATTGAAAAATAAATAGAAGCAATTAAATTATACAGCTGATCAAACTGTACAGCTGTAAACAATTATGTCCTACATAAGGATAACATGGGAACTTTCAAAGCCACTGGGGCAGAGCCCAAGGGACTTTTTCAAATATGTAAGGCCAGTTTGCAAATCTACGCGACACGCTCTTTCCAATGAGACGTCAATGGATAAAATCGGTTAAGAAATGGCGGCGGAGTTCAACCGACAAAGTTTCATGTAGCGTATTAATTATATAGATTAGTTTAACAAGTACTTAGGTTTGCTGCATCAGGGAGGATAAAACTGTTTTTTTTTTTTTTTGTAAAATGTTAATAGCTAGTAAGAAATAAAAACATTTTCCAAATTTGATCAAAATATGTTCATAAACAAGCAAACTACAACAGTTTACTTATTCTCCATAAGAATAACATGGGAATTTTAAATTAACAATTTTTTGGAATTTTCTCCGTAACCATTAGGCGCATAATAACGCTTCAATACGGTATACTAAATTATTCGTTTTTTTAAGCTCTACAAAATGGGTTTGAAAGAAATTGCTAAATTTTATGTTTTTTGGGTCAAAAATGGGAAAAACCTATTTTTACCCCATAAAACCACCCGTAAACCCTCTGTTCCCATGGTCCGATCATGCTGGATCGCGAACTCGTTTGAATAAACGTAGGTTTACACGTTTGTACCAAATTTCATCAAAATCGGATCATTTTTGCTCGAGTTATCGTGCTGACGGACACATAAGTTATATATATATATACAGTAGAGTCCCGCAAACTCGGCGTAATGTGGACTGGAAGGGTGTGTTTGTGAAATGCCGGGTTATCGGGAACTAGGATTAAAAAGTAATAACAATAACATTTTAACTGCCTCTATTATTTATATTTATGTTACAAGTTAGTATTAAGTCATCAGATATAGTAAAACATATCCTTGGTACGAGCTGCGAATGATTTGACTTGAGCTGGCTTGAGTCCATGTTTAACTAGAACTCAAAAATCACTAATTTTCTGAGCCAGGCGATGGCCGAGTTATCCAGACTGCCGGGTTATCGAGTGCCGAGTTTGCGGGACTCGACTGTATATATATATGAATTTGAACGGATGGTGTTTTTGGCCTCTAGGGACCTCAAAACGAAAAAAAAATCGGTCCCGCGTCCAGGTCTTACCATGAGTAGGTACTACGGTAATAGCTTATTCCCTATATGGGAAATTCGCTAAAATGTATGCTATTCAACAACAACTACCGGTAAATGAATTGTTACCGATTTAGTTACCGTTCGGTTTTTGGCTAGGCTGTTTGGTTATCGATTGAATCAATACTTTTATGTTTGATAATAAAATAGAGTCAAATAGGTTATCAAAATGTAACTTAGGGGCTATGCCGAATTTTTAACTAGGCCTAACTTAAGTTCCTAATCTCTTAACTGACAAAGTAAATACAAATTCAAATTTACTCACTACTTTAACATTATAATCAAGCAGCTGGGTGACAAAACAATTATTTTTCGAAATTTATTTTAAAATAATTAGGCTTAAGTTTATTTTTGTGCATAGGTAAGTGATCTCCATTAGGCCAAGGTCCTGTATTAAAAATTTAAACTCTCTAGGCAGAACCAGTCAACTTATAGATTTACTTTTTAACTTAAATAAATACTTTAAAACTATTCTTTAAATTGGCGACCATACAAAGTAGGTATTTTAAGCCAAGTATGAATGGAGATGAGTGTAGGATGAGTGGCGTGATCTTAGGAGTTAGTGACTAAGGTCGACATATTCCTTAGACACAGCTGTTAATTAATAGCCCATACAGCTAATGGCGACTAAGGGACCTACTTACAGTTTATAGTAGAGTAACCACATTTTTGCCTTTGGTATACAAGTTGGTCTAATTACTTATCAGGATAGTAATTACATAATAATTACATTAAGCTGACCAACTGTAACTTACTGTTAAGTCCAAAGTAACTTAGCCAAGCCTAAAACATAGGTTATCCTACAGACTACCTAGGCAACAGATTGGGGGTACAGTCTCTTAACTGGGCTATGCTAACTTAGTAATGTATCGATTTAAACTATCGATTCGATTAGTATACCTTCATGTGATTTTTTCATTATCAGCAAGTTTGGTTAATTAGGTTAGGTTATGACAGTTTCATTAGGGTATATAATAGATAAGATTAAAAAATATTGATTGTTAATCAATATAGGCATTGACTATATAACACTACGTAGTGTTATATAGTCAATGATATAGGCCTACTGGCAGATAATTAGCCTAACTTAGTTAACTTTAGGGCCTATGGTGTGAAGGTGTAGATATGAATGCTTGACAATATTTATTAAGAAATTTTAAATGATTTGTAGGCCTAGGTCCACTAAACTGAATTTAGCTTTATTTTTCTAATTGGGGTGCTTTAAATGCTCGTCCATAGTTTTCTAAAATAACTTACCCGGAAGCTTTCAAATGTTTGTTTGGGTAGTTCATGTTTAACACTATCACCAATTAATTAGCTCTCAATGTTATCACTGATTATGTTAATTTACGGAAAACATAGATTGTTAAAACAAATAAGAAAACATAAAATTCGATATGCGATCTTTGTTACTTACCTAAAACAAAAATGCATAACCTCAAAGGGCAAAATTGATTTTTCGATTGCGTGCTGTTTTGCTGTTTAACAATGAAAATGACGTAACGTAATCAACAGTAGCACACTCGACGTTCTGTACCCACTAGCACCTTAGCTTCCACAAGTAAGCACAGAAGGGTATTTACTCAGGGGAGGTATAGAAGAGGCTACGATGACAGCTGTGGGCTTCTTATTAGCTGAGGGAACGCCATTACCGTAACAATACGATCTGAAGCCATCGGCCTCGGTGGTCTAGTGATTAGCGTGCCGGGCTGATATGCTGAAGGTCCCGGGTTTGAATCCCGTTGGTAGAATTAACTTTTTGTCCAAGATTTTTTCATTATCAGCAAGTTTGGTTGGTTTGGTTCGGTTATTACAGTTTAATTTTATTATTAAGTCATTATAAAATTTTAATAATTAAACAGTTTCAAGTTTTATTTAATAAACAGAATTTTTTTTATTACTAAACTTTTGTTATATTATTTCATTATCAGCAAGTTTGGTTAGTTCGGTTAGGTTATGATAGTTTAATTTTATAATTAAAAAATAATAAAATTGAATTTGAGGCATTTATAATTTTATTTGATGAACGGAACTATTTTTGCGATTAGTAAACCTTCATTGCCAAAGTGCTCTCTACTACAGCGCTGTTCGTGGAGGAATTTTGAACTAATGCCTCAATCGTACCTCCCCTAAGTCAGACCCGCACAGAAGGCCTTCGAACAGTTCCTGGGATAACAGCTATTTGTGTAATAGCTTCACTGTATATCTTTATTGGACCTGTTTAGATAGTTGTTTTTTTCAACAGTTACAGTTGCGAACTGTGCATTGTGATTTTGTAAAGGTGTTTATTCTTTACTGTTTGTTTACTTTTGACTTGAGCTGCTTGAAAAGGTGTTTTATGATTGAAAATTAATGTTTTGTGAGTGGGCTGAAGCTGATTTGTTATTAGGTATTGACAATTAGCCTAAATGTTTTGCGTGCATGAATTATTTATGAAGTTTACTTAACCTATATTTTTCGGATTCCTCAAGAGAGAGTGATTGTTAGGTTAGGTTAGGTGTTTGTGTGTGAATTTGTTAGATTGCAGTTTTGGTAGTGGTAGGTCTGTAGCCTCTAAGGTAAACTTAGGCATACTCTTATAAATAGATAAGTTATTGATTTAACTTTTTCAAAGGCAATAACTTAGACCTAAATTCCACTGAAAGGCCCAACTAACTTAATCAAAATAAACCTAGACCTAAGTTACCACTACCAAAACTCCAATCTAACAAATGCACACACAAACGCAACTCAACCTAACATTAACACTCACTCTTTCTTGAGGAATCCAAAAAAGATAGGTTAAGTGAACATTTAAAACTTCATAATCATAAAACACCTTATCAAGCAGCTCAAGTCAAAAATAAACAAACAGTAAAGAATAAACGCCTTAAAATCAGAATGCACAGTTCGCAAGAGTATTATACATCGATGTTCGCAACTGCAACTGTTGAAACAACTATTTAAACAGGTCAAATAAAGATATACAGTGAAGCTATTACACAAATAGCTGTTATCCCAGGAACTGTTTCAGGGCCTTCTGTGCTTGTGGAAGCTGAGTTATAATCCAGTAAATTTGTATTTAAATTCACTCATAGCGAGAAAGTTTTGGGGTAGTTTTGATTTTTTCCATTTCTTATGTATTTTGGGGCGCTGAATCCGAATCTGTGGTTTGCCAACAAAAATTCTTGACGCAACATTGACAAAAATGAGAAAAAATGGAAAAAATGATATTTTTTGTAATATTTAGCTTATAACTCAGAAACTATCAACTTTTTGTTATTAGTCTGTATTATAAAAATTAAAGTACACAAAATTTTCTACAAAATGTACCCCTAATGTGGTAATCTCCGATGAACCGTTTAGGCTCCAGACCTATTTGAAAATTGGAACATTTTGTGTTAGTTTTTAAATTTATCCAATTATTCTGTCAATGACACATATTCATTGTATATGTCCAGGCAAAGGTCTTATATAAATCCAAAGTGTTAAAATTGATTAATTTTGTGTTAACTGAACCGTTGACTTTTTATTTAGTGTACAGAAAAGTTACACGAACTGTTGCCGTTTAAATTATCCTCGCTCAGAGGGTTGTAATGAGGCAGGTTCTGGCAAACGTTTCGATGCATTATTTGTGAGCATTCTAGCTTGTTCATCTGCACAAAAAAGGTTAAAAGTAAAAAAAAAATACACATAATAATAAGTGATACCAAAATAATAACTATCAAAATTAAAATAACAGCAATCCGTTAATCATGTAATATCGTATGCACCTGATGACGTGATATTTAGATATACGTAAATAATAAAATGTTATGTAGGCGTATACTGTTGCCAAGCATTTACATTGTGTGTAGATTTAATAAGTTAATAAATAAAGAGATGTGCGTTTGGTACTTACTATACTTACTTTCTTACTTACTTAGACTCTAGCATCACAGCCCATTGTACGTCCTCAATCGTATTGACACCCATTATAAAATTTTCTGTGTAAAATTTCAAGACCGATGCATGGCTTAGAGTGATTGGCACTATTACCATAGGCCAATACTAATTTTTTTCACCCGAATGTAAATGTAAACTCTAAGCGAGTTATGTCCACACAGCTGCTTGAGTTGGGGGCAGTGAGGCAACGTTGGATTTAGTTTTCTAGCCAAAATTTGTATTGACTATCTTAAGTCAATTAACCCTTACCACTCTCATGTAGGCCTATGCCCTACGCCCTAGGACCTACAATCTATCAAATCTACACACAATGTAAATGCTTGGCAACAGTATATGCCTACATAACATTTTATTATTTACGTATATCTTAATATCACGTCATCAGGTGCATAAGATATTACATGATTGATTGATTGGTGTTATTTTAATTTTGATAGTTTTGATTTTGGCATCACTTATTATTATATGTGTAATTTTTTTTATACTTTTAACCTTTTTTTAATTGTCCAGATGAACAAGCTAGAATGCTCACAAATAATGCATCGAAACGTTTGCCAGAACCTGCCTCATTACAACCCTCTGAGCGAGGATAATTTAAACGGCAACAGTTTGTGTATCTTTTCTGTACACTAAATAAAAAGTCAACGGTTCAATAACACAAAATTAATCAATTTTAACACTTTGGATTTATATAAGACCTTTGCCTGGGCATATACAATGAATATGTGTCATTGACAGAATAATTGGAGAAATTTAAAAACTAACACAAAATGTTCCAATTTTCAAATAGCTTTGGAGCCTAAACAGTTCATCGGAGATTACCACATTAGGGGTACATCTTGTAGCAAATTTTGTGTACTTAAATTTTTATAATATAGATTAATAACAAAAAGTTGATAGTTTGTGAGTTATAAGCTAAATATTACAAAAAATATAATTTTTTCCATATTTTTCTCATTTTTGTCAATGTTGCGTCAAGAATTTTTGTTGGCAAACCGCAGATTCGGATTCAGCGCCCCAAAATACATAAGAAATGGAAAAAATCAAAACTACCCCAAAACTTTCCTGGTAAAAACACAAATTAACTGAATTATTACTCGTGGGTACAGAACGTCGAGTACAATAGCACCAGCCAGGCTCATGCAGCCAGCCATTGCCAGATCCAGATGACATAAAATAAACAAAAATCAAGACAAGACAGACGACTATAAAAAAGAAAACAGCACAACAAAATTATACAGTACTAGCTGTACCCTCGGGCTTCGCCCCGTTTAACTTCATAAGTGAGCTTGTTCGCATGGCTCAATCACGTCCTGGTTGAAGTTGGTTCGCTACGCTCACTCACCTTTGTGTTGGAGCTCGTTCGCTGCGCTCACTTGCCTTCAGGTTAGCTCGTTCGCTACGCTCACTCACCTTTTGGTTGCAAATTAGCTGTTGTCATAAATTAAAAATAAAATAAAATAAGCTGCACCCTGTTGGTAATCCTTGTAACTTTAATGCTATTGGACATCATAGGACAGAACCAACTTGTTTAATTGAAACAGCTGTTAAGATTCATTAATTCCATTTAAATATGAGTACTCATAAGGTTAACATGGGAAACTCCAGAGCCACTGGGGCGGAGCCCGAGAGTCCGATCAAAATAAAAACAACTTAGTTTTCCTATGCCTAAAGAATCAGTGTACTAAATTTCAGCCTCCTAGGTAAATGGGAAGTGGGAGAATTAGTGATGAGTGAGTGAGTGAGTCAGTGAGGGCTTTGCCTTTTATCTATATATTAATAGGCAAGCATGTTTCTTTAAAACCTTTTTTCTCAGCTCGCGTGTATCGTAGGAAAAATCTACGCATACCGTTAGAAAGCTATTTTCCTGTAGGTGTGCAGAATCCCTTTATAAATTAAAATAGGCTCAAAAATAAGCACAAAAAATGAATTTGAAATTTAAAAAAATTAACATGGGTATTATGGGTTGCTATGGTGATGACGAAATAACAACACAATATAAACAGAAAATCAAAACAAATGGAAGACATTCCAATCACATGTTTTATTTACAGTGTGGGGTGAAAATAGAGAAGGTTGTACAAAACATACTTTTGGTCGATTTTTCGACCACGGGGCGTGCTCTCGTATATATATAAAAGCAAAGACTAAGCTCAAACCTGTGAAAATGAAAATAATTCCCTGTAGTGTAGGAGTATAGTCACCAGTCACGGCCGCCGAGTCAAAGGTGATCGTGAGTGTAGGAGTACTTCCTTCCACCATGGTAGTACTTGTACTTGATCAAAACCACGGCCACCTTTAACTCCAGGCACGGCCACCTTTAACTCCGGCAACGTTGCAAGTGGTGTTGTCTAGCGCTAAACGTCCCATAAGATAACATGGCAGACAGGTGACACCAGCTCATTAATCCGAGTACTATTAATTTAAATTTATGAACATAAATTTACTACAAAATTGAAAATAAAATATATAGAATTTAAAACCAAAATAATGTTTAAATTGAAAATCTATTTTTGTACATTAAATTAAAGTCAATATTTTCATAGCCCAGTAAATAAGCTTTCGTATTCCTAAAAAAATACATAAACTACCATCAGCCGCCTCTAAAATAATAAAACAGTTGTTACAACCCTATTTGCGATGTTGCCACTGCGAAGGCCGCGGCCTGGAGTTATTTTCATAGCCCAGTAAATAAGCTTTCGTATTCCTAAAAAAATACATAAACTACCATCAGCCGCCTCTAAAATAATAAAACAGTTGTTACAACCCTATTTGCGATGTTGCCACTGCGAAGGCCGCGGCCTGGAGTTAAAGGTGGCCGTGCTCCAGGCCGCGACCTTCGAAGTGCTAACGAAGTGGCAACGTCACAAGTGGTGTTGTAACAGCTGTTTTGTTTGGAAGCAGCTAATAGTATTTTTCCTACAGTTAGCTAATAATGTACATGTTCTCTCATTGAGAAAGCAAAGTGGCCAATTCGCTAATCAGTGAGACAATGTTAACATTGTCTCACTCTAATTACTTTGTCTCACTCCAGATTTGCAACGTGAAGGCACGAAATTGGCCAATTAGTTCATCAGTGAGACAATGTTAACAAACATCCAGGTCACTCCAGATTTGCAACGGGAAGGCACGTTTCTTTACCAATTTATTTGTTTTATGGTAACTGTAGGAAAAATATAATGTGCAACTCGATGGCAAAGTGCTCACTGCAAGTTGCTCAATAGTTGCACACATAACTATTTATTTACGAAAGATTGGTTATTGGACTATGACAATATTGACTCCGCTTAAAATGGACAGATATAGATTTTTAATTCGTATTGTTTTGGTTTTCAATTCTGTATGTTTTATTTTCAATATTTTAATAAATTGATGTTCATAAAATTTAAATTTAAATCAATAAAGTGCGAGTTGATGACCTGATGTCACCTGTCTGTTATGTTATCTTATGTGACGTCTGTTAATAAACAACACCACTTGTGACGTTGCCAATTCTACCAGGCCGCGGCCTGTAGTTAAAGGTGGCCGTGGCCAACGTCGCAAGTAGGGTTGTAACAGCTGTTTTGTTTGGAAGCAGCTAATGTTATTTGTTTATTTACAAAAGCTTGGCTACTGGGCTATGAAAATATTTACTCCACTTTAAATATACAAAAATAGATTTTCAATTTAAATATTGTTCTGGTTTTCATTTCTGTTTTATTTCCAATCTTTTAAACATTTATGTTCATAAATTTAAATGAATAATACGCGAATTGATTAGCGTCACCCGTCTGCCATGTTACCCATCTTATGGGACATCTGACGCTAGACACCACCTGCAACGTTGCCAATTCTACCAGGCCGCGGCCTGGAGTTAATGGTGGCCACGATCAAAACATAGATAAAACCATAAACGTACTATCATAGATAAAACATACTCCCTTAGACTCACCAACACAAAGGTATCGTATGGGAGTATGTTTAATCTATGATACTACCAAAATTACATAAATCAATGTTTACTAAGCCCATTGGTTGCTCCATCGTACAATTCAAAGCTAATGCTTTAACGACGAGCTTCATTTTAAGTTGCTGGGTCCGGTATTGTGGTACTGTATTTAATTTTACAGTTTAATAAAGTCAACCCAAAGTGGCTAACGGTATTTGTGATTAGGCCTACTACTGTAAGACCTGTATATTTTTGAAATGTAATTTAGTAGGCTATAAAAAATGTTTCCAAATAAATAAAATGATTATGAACTTGTTTACAAGTTTAACGATAAAGATATTAATTTAACTATGTTTTTTAGGTGCTGTCATGTACCAGTACTACATCAAGATTGTCCCGACGAAAAGGTTTCATAAAGATGGCATGGTTTTGTATTCCAATCAATTTTCTGTGACAAAACATTCTAAGGTAACCAAAAAGTGAAATTAAAAATGAAAGCCTATCACTGAGCTAGGAATAAAACTGGAGGTAGATTACTGGCATTGAAACTCTGCTAGAAAATAAAGACGATGTAAAATTTTCCATGTTGCTGCCAACAAAGAAAATCAACCAATTCATTTGCTCATGGGTTTGTTACAATCATTTACAGTACTGTACAATGTAAATGTGCTTTACCTTTGGTACAAATGTCAGCCAATGGCTCAAAATTTTCTCATTCAGTTCAGTGCTACCTGTAGTTGTATTTCTAGCCCAATGAAGTTAACACACAAAAGAATAACCCATTGCCTGGACACGATAGGAGCCGGAGCGTCAATACCGCTTTGCAATTAGGCCCCATATGTTAATGTTACCGTGGAAATTTGAAGAGGGGTGACACGATCGACCTGAGCATCGATGGCACCGTTAAAGAGTCCTTGGACGCTAGTGGCCGTCTTATATAATTTTAATCAGCTGCTAAAGAGTTATTATCGTCAAATTTTTTTTCAAATATCAACGTGGTTATAATTTAAATATGTAGTACTATACTTATTATATTTTTATTATTATTATATTTGTTGTCATGAGAGCCGAAGCCCCCTGACTGCATACCCGGTACCTATCCTTCAGGACATACCCGGGCCCCATGATGTAGGCCGAAGCTTACGCATCAACCTTTAGCACATCATGGGCGGATGACTTAAGGTCATCAGGCTCGCCGGCTGCCGAAGCAGACCCTTCGGAAAGAGGGTTGCCCCTCAATCCTAACCAGGGATTCCGGCTGCTTGTTTAAGCGTCACTCCACCTGGGTTCCACTAGGTCGAAACCTAGAGGTCCATAGTAGAGCGCCCCGACGCATTTAGTGCAAGCAGCACTCGGGACCTATCTAATCCCTGACAGGCAGAACCCGCCATCGATAGCCAGGAGGAAGGGGACCATCAGCACGCTGACGGGGGGAACCCCAACCTCCCATTTACACCGCTGCCCGATCGAGGCCTTACCCATTGCTGGGAAACCAGAGATAACCAGAGCGATAGATCCCCAGATACCCCTGGCGGGCTCGGACCCAGCACCCGATCTACTTCGTTTGCCCGTCAGACCCAACATCACTGCCAGGCCATCAGGGTTTCCCAAAAGGAGGCAGGTATAGAAGTGGGACCCACCCGGATGAACCTATCCACCAGAGGTGGCGACACCCTTGACTCAATTGAGGTTCCGGGAAGAACCCCCCACACTCAAGATAACCATACCGTCCGTGCTCAGAGACAGGGATAGGTTTGCATAAGTACCTACAAACCGTTGCCCTCACACTGCGGAAAGTTACGTTGCCCTTGAGTGTCCCCGTGAGCTGCGGGTACTTGCCCGTTTTCACCTCCAGGAAAGGTTACTTCCAAAGTCGAGGATTTGCCCACTGAATGCTGGTCGCACACAACAAGCAGGCCGAAGCCCAAAGAACCACAGACACAGGTAGGTTAGAGATTATGATGTACTTCCATCTCTCCTAGAGCTAAACACCCCTCCATCCTGGATAAAGGAATGTCACTGGGACCCGATGCCCAGTCGTCCATGTCTGTGGCCAACTTGAAAATGCCGATACCAACACGGAGCATTTACCTCCCCTCTGGGGGCTAGGTATTTCACCTCCCAGGACGAGGCTACTTCCAAAGTCGAGGATATGCCTCACAAAATGCCAGTCGTACACGACAGGTAGGACTCAGTCACAACCACAAGCTACAGGCAGGTGAAAGATCTATGAACTTAATCAACACTAGCAGAGCTGAACACCCCCACCACCCTGAATGGAGGGAATGTCACTGGGTACTCTCACTTTGGGTAAACCCAAAGAGGCTGGCTTGTCCAGTCGTCCATAGCTTGTGGTCTACCTGAAGTGCCGGTTCCAACACCGGGCAATTACCTCCCCTCTGGGAGAGCTAGGGTCCGCGTGGTCGCCCAGGCCACGAACCCACGCAAGCGTGAGCCCCCTGCGGTTATACTCCCTGCGGTAGTACTATACTGTGAGATTAGAAATGTTCTTTGTGGTTTTGAATAATTGTTCTCCAATGGAGTCCATGGAAGCTAACGATCATCTTGGATTTGCCCGCCATAAGAGCAATGTTAATTTCGTTTATTTCAAACTAGCCGCTGAAGAGTTATTTACCATCTCAAAATATTTGTTCAAACACCAGAGTGGTTGTAATTTCAATATCTAGTATACTGTGAGATTAGACATTTTCTTCGTAGTTCTATGACTGTTTTATAGTCTGGGCGGCGACCCATTATAATTTACGATAACCTAGAAATTTGGATGGACAAAGGTTTTTTTGACTGATTCTGCAGTCTCTTTTGAGAATGCTACCCATATGTGTATTAGAAGTGGTACTGGGTCTCTGCAAGTTACATGTAATTGATAGTTTAATTTGGCATCCCTGCATTCTATATTGCTACGTTTGAGAGAGGGAAGAGACTCCAACGTGACCCTGAGCCTGAGCAGTGAGCAGAAGACTGACCGTACCGCCGCGCCCGCCAGTGACTCACGCAGACAGAACTAGCATTAATGCAAGGAGGAAAAGGAGCGTTCGTAGTTGTGTATCAGATAGGAAATATTAGGATAAACACAAAATCATATTACCAAATTTATACTTTATTTAGGAAATGTTCAGCATGATAATTGCAAAGATGCTGAGCCTTTCAGGGGATGGTCTGTTTTGGTGCTGAAGGGGGAGGGGCTGAGAGGTGTTGGAAGGCACTAACAATTATGCATTGAATTGTAACTATCATGACTCAATAACTCATTTATTTAGCTAGATTAACATTACAAATGCATTAGCCAAGTAAAATTTACTAAAAATAACTATTTACTAACTTTTAAAATAATTTAAATTCATTAGGACTGTCCGTCAGCGAGAAAGGCGCGGACACTGTAGTAGCCTTTACCCACGAGAAATGACCTCAAGTGCCTTTTGAAGCATCCCGGATCTGATGTGGACTTGATTTGAAGTGTTTACTAAACAATCTGTGTAATACGTCATTGGCATTAAAAATGTCTTCTTAGTTATTAATAAATAACTTAAATTTATAAAATCATGCTAATAAAAATAACTGGAAATATATTTTTTGTGTAAAATTTGACGCTCCTAATTTTATGACTAGACACTAAGATCTCTAAAACTACGGTAACGGTTTTCAAGTATTTATAGAAAAACCAGTTTTGGCCGCCATTTTTCCAATTTGGCGGAGTTTGCCCAAGGATGCCAAAGTGACACCCGACATATTCGTAATCAGTGCAAAAAACTGAGTCAGAATCAGTCAAAAAACCTTTGTCCACCCAAATGTCCAGGTCCCACTAGCTGAAGCCCAGACTACGAGTTAAATAGAACGTCTAGGCTCCAAGGACTCTTAAACCCTGCCCGATTACTTTTTGTACGACGCTCAGATGAGCCATGCTTCACAGTTTTTCAGTCTAGTTCAAGATGTCAGAGGAGAAAGAGCCACACTTGAGCCTCCAGTTAAACTAAAGAAAGAAGTCATTATTGCTTTGAAAAAGTTCAGTGGTACTCAAATTGAAAGTTTGATACGTGAAGTTCAGTGTCATTAATCATTGTGGAATGATAAAGACAACGGCTTCAAGAACACTCGTTGACAAGGTGCACGAAGTTGCAACAGTGTTTGACATGTTAGGGTAAATAAATAAAATTATTTCTATCAAAATTAGGTATTTTTAGGAACAGTTTTTCAAGCAAAAAGTACAAGCCGCTCATACAGCCGCTTGTATCGTGACCACCCTCAACGCTTGTATCGTGCCCGAGGCCTATTACGCATTAGCTCATCCAGGTGTTTTTAAAAAACTCCAGGCCCAGATTCGTTTTAAACTTTGAAACATTCATTTTGAGTGGAAAACAGGAAAGAAGACTTATCTTGGCAGATAATCACAAATATTTCAGTTAATAAATACATTTTGCCTCATTTATCCATCGGTCTGTGTACATAGAGTTAAGTGCATCGTGAGTTTAGTGTAATTATGTTCAAAGAGAAGCCTGCTCTCCTTCTCAAACCTTTTTATATCCTCAGATTTTGTAATAAATGAATAACTCTTCGCTATGTGTATTGCCCACAATAATTTACTCATTTACATTTTAAAATTAACGTATTCCATCTGTGTGTGTTGTAACAGTTATATAAAATAAGTTAAGTCAAATGAATTGATTTGTAATCTCATATTATAGCTCTACTACTTTACCTTTATGCAGGTCGTGTCTCCAGGCAGTGGTGATTCAGGAATGCCTGGAATATTTTTTAGCTACGAACTTTCAGCCCTCATGGTGAAAATATCTGACAAAGTTATGTGAGTACCTAACTACTTTATAATGGCAATGAACCATTCATTCATGCAACAGTCGTCTTCATCATAAACCTCTTAAAATAGTTTGAGCACTAGAATAATAAAAAAAAACGTCTTTTTAAAGTGGTTTTCAGTAACAATACTGTTTTTAAAAACTATTCAAGTCAATACAAAAGAAACATACACATTTAATCATACCAAAAATGTTAAATAAAGGTAAGAATATTACTCAAATAAAACAAGCTGACATTTTCAAACATGTCTGAAATGAGCTTGAACTTTATAAGATATGTTAAGTTTTTAACAGCCTCAAAATAGCCAAAAGACACTTTTCTAGTCAATGCTGTTAACTTACTTACTATATAAAAGTTAATTAAAAGTGAATTATAATAATTATTTTTATTATCTATACTTATAAAAGGCAGAGCCCTCACTGACTCACTCACTCACTCATCACTAATTCTCCCACTTCCCATTTACCTAGGAGGCTGAAATTTGGTACACTGATTCTTTAGACATTAAATAGGAAAACTTTGTCGTTTTTATTCTGATCGGACTCTCGGGCTCCGCCCCAGTGGCTCTGGAGTTTCCCATGTTAACCTATGATTTTTCATATTTAAAAAGAATTAATGAATCTTAACATTAGCTGTTTCAATTAAACAAGTTGGTTCTATTCTATGATGTTCAATAGCATTAAAGTCACAAGGATTACCAACAGGGTGCAGCACTATTATTTTTTTAATTTATGACAACAGCTAATTTGCAACCAAAAGGTGAGTGAGCGTAGCGAACGAACTTCAATAAGGACTTGATTGAGCCATGCAAATACTTATGAAGTTAAACCCGCGGGTACAGCTAGTATACTTATATACTACTAGTGTACCTGTTAAATTGTACATAAATATAGCTACCATACCAAGGACTATCATAGGACTATTCACACTTTGATACTGACCGTGGGCTTTGCCCCTTTGGCTTTAAAAGTTCTGAGGTGAAAACTACAATTGAACAAATTCAATTGTAAATTTAATGGTACAGTATCACAAATGCTGTTTATATGGTCCTTGAACCTAAGCTCTGAAATGACACTTTCCCACAAGCAAAACACATCGTCCACGTAACCTAACCTAACCATAACTTACGCTTAACCTCAGCTGTTGTAATGGCTTTTTATTCAAAGTAATCCATGTAGATGTTACTTAAAATAGGACTTAGTACACCTCCCATTGCCATGCCAGACTTTTGGGCGTAAAAAAGGTTCATAAATAAAGCCTTAAGGAAAATATCCAGCTCTGATATAAGTTTACCACCTAAAGATAACAAACCTTTGGCCACAGTATGCAATCCGTATATTAAAAACCTTTCGGAGAAAATACGGCGCGTGAATGCTAAGCAAGGTATCAGGACAGACTTTCCTCAAAAAACACGATAAGAAGACCTGTATCTAAACTAAAGTGAAACCTCCTAACTGTGGTAACGACAATAAAAACAAAGTGTACAAGGTCCCGTGCTCGTGTAACCGTAGCTATGTAGGTCAAACATCAAGACCGGCTCTTGACCGGTTCATGAACATATGAAAAAAGTTGATACACGTATAACCTACAACAACTCAAAAATATCTTAACACGTTCATGACACCGGGCATTGTATTAAGTGGGAAGAAAGCTGTGTATTATACAAGGAGCCTAATTGGAAGAAAATGAATATTATTGAGGCTTTGTTTATTTCTTCGGATAAAAATTCGTTAGCCAACGCATCCATTGACATCAGCCCTGTTTACAATACGCTAATAGAAAAAGATATTAAAGGATGCATTGAGAAATCAAAACAAAAGAAGATAATGCCATCAGCTGATCGAGATAACAGATATTCCCCTCCCCCTCCTCCACCAACAGGGTCGTCAGTCGTCGTTAGGCGCTCACGTTTACGTGAGAAAATAACCTTGAAAACGCTGCACGTTGATATTGGTGCTGCGAAACGTCGGAGTTGAGAACTTGAGTCTGTGATTTTATATTTAGTTTTACTAGATAACACGTTGCTCAAAATCGAGCAAAACTGAAACTTGTTTAAAAAAACAAACAGCAATAACTTAATCAAAGCGTCACTCTAAAATAATTTATATGACTGATTATAGAAATATAAAAATATTATGATGTAAAAAATATAAAAGAAATCTACAATATTTAAATTTACATTCACTCTCATACTGCTTTGATTATCTCTTATGTATAGTAGGCGTGTGCACTCTATGAGCATGTAGATGTCAACCACACACACACACACACACTGTAAAGTGAGCTTTTGACCAAACGTAACGTAGCTCAATTCCTCTCTTGACGCAGGCGTGTTTAAATTAGGGACCCCAACCCAAGTCTCCGGTTGGGAATAATAAGAGGGTAAGCAAGTGGATCTAACGATAGATCTAGAATGGATACGCGTTTAACATTGTTAGTGTTGGACAAAACTATACGATTCATTTGGCCAGGGGGTGCTTTTTTCAGCTTTAAAAATTGCTGCGTTATCTACACAGGTAGCACCATTGTAGCGAGGGAAGACACTTCTTCTGTCTACATAAGAATCTCACTTGACCCCTTTGGAGCTCTCGTCCCTACATAATCAAATTTATTCTTAAACTCTTCATTATGAACCAGACTTAGTTAACAGATTGAAACAAAATATAAATTCCAGCTTTGCTCTGGAAGTTATTTTAAATCCTGCAGTCTGTGGTTAACCTTAAAAACTATTTCAAACTACGTCCATATGTTATTTGTAAACAAAGGGAAATGAGTTTGATCAAATGTCAACAGATAGCGCCCTTCCAAACTTTAGCCCTTAAGTGTACTTAAGTCTCACTGGTGCCCTTTCTAAATATTCTGAGACGTATTTGCACATCTACGCGAAAATACCTTTGATTTGACACCTCAAACGTTAAATCCATCAAGCCGTTATCAAGTTATGACTGTGAAAAGAAAACTGCTTGCGTATTAATATATAGATTTTGATTTTTGTATTTTATATCTATGTGTATGTGCAACAAACTGTGATATGACAAGGACTATGTTCTCCTAATTTCAATAAGGCGAGTGTTGTCCAAAAATATTTATCATACTGAAGTATGACCTCACCTAAAATACCATGTCGTTTAGAAATAGAACTTGTTTCCTGTTATTTCAGTAGTTTAAAACCTCGTTTAGCCAAATAAAACGATCTAATCATAAATAATAACTCGTCCACTAGCTATACTGTATAACCAAACGGTGAGACACAAATAATGAGAAACTAACCCTAAAATAATAGAAACAAATTGTAAACAAAACAGGACATCTACAGAAAACCGGACAGAACTAACAATAAAATTAGCTGTCTTTAGTTCTAAATTATTTGTTTAAAAATTTATATAGTATAGCTGATATAGTTTCTTTAATATTTCATATTGATATTGATTTAATATTGATAAGGCACAACAATATTTCTAAAGTTAATAACAGCTGACTTAGTTTTCCTAAATGATTTGTTGTGAGTGAAGAAACTGAAGATGGAAGGATTTGTGATTTAATACCAAGAAGAGTGAAATTTAAAAAATGTTCATTTGAATTTAATAATTAGTATTTTTGCAACTTAAAAATTGAAATTGAAAATGTCAAAAAGAAAAAATATATGTAATTAAAGGAGATGAAGGTAAATCATGTATGTGAAAGTTTTATTCGAAGATTTGGTCAGTTTTTCTCATATCAGCCTACACAAGATTTAAAATTAATCAAAACCAAAATGGTGGTATCCACTACTTACCAGATTTAAAAGTCATAGCTTAACAACAGATAAAACATACTTTACTTTATGATAGTGCTCAAACTATTTCTAGAGGTTTATGACGAAGATGAGTGTTGCATGAATGAGAGACGTTAGCTTTGCTAGCTATTAGCTTCATGTTACATATAATTTAAAACATAACTTATAAAAGTGTGTCCCAATTAATTTAAAAATTATTTTATTTTATCGTCATTTAGGCTATGATTAGAAATTTTAATGTATTTCGTGATATTTATATTGGTTATCAAGTTCTACTGTTGTTTTATTTATTCAAATATCAAACGTGTTGCATATTATACAAATTTAATTTGTCATACAACCTATAACAAAAGGCCAACCAAATTTTAACCAACTTTTGTTGACTTTTGAACTGTTTTGTTTCAGCCCCTGGAGTCACTTTCTCAACGACTGCTGTAGTTGTATTGGAGGAGTCTTCATCGTCTTTATGCTGCTTGATTCATTTTTCTATAGATCTGTTGTTTTATGGAAAAAAATGGAAATAGGAAAAGCACATTGAAAACATTGAAACTCAAAGCGAAAAAAAAGACTACCGGTACTGATTTATTTAAGGGGAGTGGCAATCTGGAGCGTTACAGTACATTCTAGCTCGATAAAACATACACACTGTTGATAACCATATTTTTACTAGTTGTATATTTTATTCCTATGTTACTTTTATATTTGTGTGTATGTGTAGGCCAATTTAGATAGTTTTGTTCTTTGAAGCTAAATGTGTAAAAATACACATAAGGAGTTTTTTTTAATGCGTTCAGCATACCGAGCAGATTAATGTTCAGAGAAAGACCTTTTGTCTATCCATAAGCCCCTAGACACTAATTACCTCGGATAACTTAGCTGAACTTAATCGTTTTCAAAAAATCAGCCAGTTGGCTTTCCCCAAAATATAGTTTTGAAGTTAAACTATTTTCGTATTTTGTACTCAAATTAGGTTTAAAATGATCTAATATCTACAAATTAGGATACAAAAACATTTGTTTAGTACTTTTACAAAGATTAAGGACCCAAAGTAGGTTTGCTTTGAAAATATAACCACAGTATAGCTTTGCTTGGTGTATTTATCTCAAAATATCTTATAAAACATCCCCTATTCTACCAACTGGTATTATGTGCTCTAGTATACTGTGCCAAGTTGAGAAGTATTATCAATTCCCATAAAAAAAAACAGGTGATGTTTAACTATTTGTTACTTTCAGGATATCTAAAGGGTGAAAAAAACACATTTTCTCTGTAATTCTTTCAACTTGAATCTTTTCAATGTGTTTGAAACCATTCTTTGTTCCGAACTAATTGCATCTGAATATGTACTTCAGTTTATGAAGTCTAGTGTGGTTACAGTATTGTTACAATTAGGTACAGTAAACTCCTGATTATTTACGGGTGGATTACGCTGCAAATTAACTATGATCGTTAAAAAATAAAAAAATATAATGCAAGTTAACTCTACGTTATACGACGACCAGATCTTTAGCGTGAGCAGGCACATCTTTTTTTGGGTAGACTATAGAGTTGTCGTTGTTTACTTCACGGACCACCAATCACAAGTTAATTAATAAGTTACATTTTTTTGTGTGTTCTAATTTATCTTTTTACTGGGCCTATTTATTAGCTCTCCAATGTTTTTGGTTTGTAGATATGAGTGAAACAAAGATGAAAGGTTCCTTCACTGTATTTAAAAAGACGTATATTTAACTAAACCTTTATTAAAGCTTTACTACATATTTAAAGTCGATCTTAGTTATTTCCCAGGCATTTGAGGTCAGGTTGCATTATCCACGATCACTTACTCACTCATTATTGTGGATAATAAGGAATCTACTGTAGTTTGCTTCTAACGTCCAAATACAGTTTACTCCCTTTTAGATTTGTATGGCTTTTAGGGCGACCTGGGTAATCCTCGCCCAATTTCCTCGGACCTATAAGAGTCACTTAAGGTTTTTTGATTTTAGGTATTTTGATTTTCTTAACTTTTTCCTTAACTTCTATGATGGTGCAGCTTTTTTAACCCTTTGAGTGCCACCGCGTCTCGCTCCGAGACGCACCATTGTCGTAGCTTGAGTGCCGAGCGTCTCGTAGCGAGACGGTCAAGGTTGCGCGAGAAATGCCAGCGTCTCGTGCATTTCTCTTTAAGTTTAAGTTTAAAATTTAGGCCAAAAATGTTAATAAATAAGTATTTTATGACAATTTTCATAAACACTTGCATTTATGTGAAAAATGGTCGGCAATCCTAGAAGCAACACCACATGTAGGCCTGGCAAACCTCAAATACAATTGTTTCACCTGCTCGAGGCACTCAAAGGGTTAAAAACTTGGTTCCAAGGTGTCCAAAGAGAGGTGGTTTACCACAGTGGTAGCAGTCACATTATATCTACCCTTGTTTTACTGAAATAATAAAATTATCGCTTATAAGCCTTACAACTATCACTCATTATTATTTCCCTGGCAGTATGAAGACGTCTGAGCCAGAAAAAAATTATCTCTTTGTAATGATGTATTTGATATTGATTCTTAAAAACAAATGCTAGAACATGTTATAAAAGACAATGAAATTCTACATTTAAAAAATAGTTCTTTCTTCATTGTATTTGTGAATTAGCCTGTAGTAGTAAATACTCCAATAATTGTTGACTTTTTGTGACATTTCACTTTGGAGTCATAAAACCAGTGTAAAATCATAATATATTGTTTTCTCCATCACAATTGATCTTTGTACACGTCTGAGTTGATTTGATATGACTTATTGTGTTTTAAAATAAAAACATCTGAAATTATTATACATTGAAACTGTTTATTTATGATAAAAACTAGCATACCTGTTCCTGTTTTATACTTGTATGAAAAACGTATTTCTTTAGTTGTAAAATATAATCTATCTTTATTTAGGCCAATTTCATTTAAATTTCTCAGCTCTCATTGTTTAGATGACAGAGAAACTTTATTTTTATTTTTTCCAATTGAAATTTAATTGTGTATCAAATAGAAGATATTTGGACAAAAACAATCCTTTCTCCAAATGCAATGTATAGGGGGAGAAAGTAAAAAAAAAAGATATTTAATTTAATACATAGTTTACATTACTGTATTACAATACTTCATACATTGTCACCAATGCTAAGATTCCCAAGACTTTATTCTAAAGAGAGAAGTTATACAACATAACTGTTAAAGTTGGGCGATGGCTAAGTTTTGTGATGTATGATTGTATCAAAATTAAATTGACAAAACTGAATAAAGAAAGTATTGTTGGGATGAGTAGTTAATAAGAAGTTGATCTAAGGTTTCTTAAACCTTCTGTTTTTACGAAACATAGTTTATATTATATATCTTCAAATTTGTAAAGTATTTTTGAAAATACCGTTAACATCAACCATTCAAAGTACACCCAATCTTAATAATTTGAATTACTCGATTAAAATGTATTCATTCAACTAACGTTTTTGTTAAAAAAGAGACACTTAGATCAAAATTTGCCAAACTATCTTGATTTTAAGAAAGCATTAAACACATTAATACTTGTCTTGGCGACATTGCGACAAAAGTCCACATCATTGCCGTGCACCAGTGTTTCCAGGGATACGTAGTTCGGTAACTTAGGGTCGTACTGAGCCTTTCCGAGCTCTTTGAGAAAATCATGCCTTTGTTTCACTATGAATTCTCTGAAGAGCAAAACATGAGGCTGTTCAAGAATTTGTTCATGTGGAACGCCCATAAGGTTGTGTATAAGATCAAAGCGGTTCTTCAATGCTTGTGTATCTGAAACAAAACAAACCATAGTAGATTCGTCATATACTTTCACAAACACTTTTTGTCCAAATATTAATTAGTACTTAGAGTCCAATGGTCGAAAACTCTACCAAAAAAATGTAATGTACAGAGTTCTCTATTTCTACCCCACACTGTAAATAAATAAAACGTGTTATTGGAATTGCTTCCATTTATTTTGATTTTCTGTTTATATTTTGTTTATTTATCCAATCCATTCGTTGAACGGTTGCTCAAATGTTTTAAGGCGTAGCGAGGCACCTTGCAATGTTTGCTTGATCAGTGTGCGGCCTCCCATTGAAATACAAGGAGTGCTCATACCCAGCTAAACATTTTGTCTCGCAACACTTGCTTCAGGTGAAATTCTGCATCAGTGTGCGGCCTTAGTATAAACTCTCCCGGTATACACACGGCAAAAAGAAATATTTCATGGTCACTATGACCACTTTCTAAAGAGCAATTGTTTGGAATATGTTTCATGTTTATAGGAAGTTACTTTGTATCTAAGTACTTTTGTATCAAAGTACTTTTTAAAGAAGGCAATTTGTATTCTTTGTGGACAACTTAATTTTTTCAATGGAAACCCCCGCTTTTTGGATTCTACGTAAAATTTTAAGACATTTTTACTCTTGTCATATTTTTGATACTCCTAACCGTTTCGAAGATACAGCAATAATAAGCCACGTATAACCATGGATATTGTATTTTACTGTTTAAAACAACATATCAGTAACGCTTTCACGTGAATGAAGATAATTAGTTGATAGAAGAATAATAATCAGCTAATCAATTGTTTATTTTGTTTTTGAATAATTTAACATTTAGTATTTATCGATGGTTTTGTGGTTATAGCAAATAATTAATACTCTCCTTTTATATAGGTCAAAATGAATTTCGATGAAGAAGTTGACATACAGCTATAATAAGCCACGCATTTTACCAATCTTACCAATGAAGATTGGCTAACTGTTGAGGCTCTAGAAATCTCACACGTTAAATATGAGGATCATTGTAGGTAGCGGCTATAATATCCGCTTCTGCATCTCCATCAATTGCCAGACGAGGTATAGTTCGTTTGTTTTGAACAAATCCAACACGTCGAGCACGTTCAAGATGCCGACAATATGTGTGAACGGCGCCTTCTGTTTTGAAAATGCATTGTATACAACCATTGACTATACCTACAGGTATATATAGTCAATGATACAACCATAGACAAATAGAATAAATATAGACTGTCAAAGGAAGGTTTGGGCACCCACCGGTAGGAGTGCCGTGTAAATTTTTAATGAAGATCATTCCTAAATGATGTTTTGTTTATTTGTCTGATGAGTTTTAATTTTAATCTTATAATGGATTAAATACTTTAAAAATAAATAGGTTTAGTAAGTTACAATATAAGATTTATTAAGAGAATTACAAATATACTGGTTCAAATCTATGGGACTAACAATGAAACCAAACCAAATGCTGAATCATGCTTGAACCTCCCACACACTGGAGAAGCAACGAAACAGAATGCTTCAAGCAAATTGTTGTGCAACATTTTGCTTCAGGGTAAATGCTGGACCAGTGTGCGCCCAGTCTAAGTGTGTTAATTTTTACAAATTGTACTCACTAAAAGGAACGACAAAATTATATAAACCGCGGTCTGACCTTCGCCGTTTAGCTGTAATAACGTAATTTGCGGTTTTTTTAAATAACGACTTTTTACTATGAATTTGACGCTAAAAACCAATCTTGCGTATAAATGACAAAATCATAGCGTTGATTTAGGCTAAATGTTTTCTTCCTTTTAGTGAGTAGAATAATTGGTAAAATTTAACACTCTTAGTAGAAACTCACCCTGTATAAATGTATTTCCTATTGAGAAGACTTAACCACTGCACACATGAGTCTGCTCTTCCTATCATCTAGGTTAGTTGTGACCCGCGTACTCTAACATTAACTGACATAAAAGACACTAATAGGATGAGAAGTATACTTGTACTGTTTGAAAAAATGCTATTCCTCATAACAGCATAAAAAAGTAATAAATACTTACGGATATCAAAGACTTTGGGGCATCTGAGAAGTAGCGTCTTAGTCTCTACTTCGCTGAAACCCATTTCTTCTTTAACTGCAAAATGGGAAACCTGAAAAAGTAGGTAAGATATTACTACTCATATCAATTCACACAGGGACTTGTTGTTCACCATGTTAAAACAGGATATAGAGCAGCAGCAATAGAGCCCTGTAATATTTCAGTCTACCCTCGATCATATGTCTAATATTCTATTCTATATTGTCTTGTTAAAAGCATATGGTTTATGTTTTTGTTATGATGTTTGTTTTAGTGTTGAGATGGCAATAAGATAAAAATGTTCTTTCTTTTACTAGTCCATAAAACCACAAAGCCGTTTTATAATTAAGAGCTAAAGCCCTGTTCACATGGGGTGAATTTACAAGCTACACACCGGCTATTTTACATGTAGCTTGTAAAATAGCTCAGTGTGAACAAAGTGCTCGCTTAAAAGCTATTTTCAAAAACATTCTGGAAAAAGTTGACTCTGCGGCTACTTGGCTATCCAGCGGCTAGCTGGAGGAAAGTGCTATATCTGAAAGCTACAATAGTGTCCTAAACAATAATGGGTTTATATCCATAGTTAACTCTCCTACTAGAATTACTCACTTTACAAAAACATTAATAGACCACATTTTTGTAAGAAATAGATATATGCAACAGTTTTCCAGTGGAGTATTCGATTTAGGTATCACTGACCATTGTGTTCTAGGTCTTAAATTTAGATATTTGTCCAATACAAAAACTGTTAACACATGTGATGATAACATAAACCTTAAGAAACAAATACTTGATTTTGATCTTGTAAAAACTAAGCTTAAGAATACTAACTGGGAAGATATTTATTCTGAATTAGATGTAAACAATTGTTTTAGTATTTTTTATGAAAAATTAATGAACGTTGTTAATACTAGTAAAAAAACTGTTCATGTTGATTCTAAACTGAGGAAAGCAAAGTTATCGAGTCCTTGGATTACAAACAACATTTTTAATCGAATAAAAAGGAGAAGAAAGCTTTATATACTTTCCAAAAAAAGACCATATGACACTGCTTTCAACACCTATTTCAAAAGATTTACAGACAATTTAAAAGTTGACATTGACACAGCAAAAAACTTATATTATTCAAATAAACTTCAAGAATGTAATGGTAATATTGCCCAACAATGGAAAATTATTAATAACTTGACTGGAAATGTAAAAGATAAGAACATTGATAGGATTGAGCTAAACGATGGGACACTGATAACAGAGCCTGGCCTTATCGCCCAGGAAATAAACAACCACCTTGTCTCAATACAGGCTGGACAACCAATCACTTTCCCTGCAGCAATTCTACCTCCTATGTACATCTGTCCACAAACGTTTTTTATAGCACCAACTACAGTGCAGGAAATAAAGTCAGTTGTTAGTAATTTAAAGAACAAAAAATCTACTGGCTTTGATGGCATCAGTGTTAGTTTACTTAAACATATAATTGACGAAATATCTCTTGTTTTAGAATACATATTTAATATGAGTTTCAACAAAGGTATTTTTCCAGAGACACTCAAATTAAGTTTAGTTGTACCCATTTTGAAAAAAAATAATTCTTTTAATTTAGAAAATCTCAGACCCATTAGCTTACTTTCAGTTTTTTCTAAAATACTCGAGAAGCTCATGATGATTAGAATTGAAAATTTTTTAAATAAAACACATTTTTTTAGTAATAAGCAGTTTGGTTTTATTAAAGGCAGGTCAACAGAAAGTGCTTTATTGGCAGTAACCGATCACATCTTCCAAGGATTAAACTCAAAACTGAAAACAACAGGTCTATTTATTGATTTTAAAAAAGCTTTTGACATGGTAAATCACAACATTCTTTTAAATAAATTGCAAAACGTAGGAATAAGAGGTACAACTTTTGAGTGGTTTAAGAGTTTCATCACAAATAGGAGGCAACAAGTAAAAATAAACAATGACTACAGTAATCCTCTCATTGTACAAACGGGTGTGCCCCAAGGGTCAACGACCTCAGGTATTTTATTTTTAGTGTTCATCAACGATTTATTAAATCTACCTTTTAACGGAAATATCTTTGCTTTTGCTGATGACATTGCTCTTTTTTACACACAAAACGATTTGATTGTTGATGGAAAATTTAATAAACGATGATCTTTTACTTTTAAGAAATTGGTGTTTGATCAATAGAATGCAGGTAAATGTAAACAAAACCAAATTTGTTAATTTCCACTCAACCGGTTTTGAATTGCCATCTCCTTTAATTTTTCACTCCTCAAATTGCAGTCCACAACTATGTAATTGCCAGCCGTTAGAAAAAGTAAAATCTATAAAATATTTAGGAGTTCTACTCGATGAAAAAGTCACCTTCGAACCTCATATATTAAATCTACATGCTAAAATACGAACACAAATAAGAAAATTTTATTTTTTAAGAAATTTTTGTAACGAATCACTTTTGAGAACATTATACTTTGCACTAATCAACTCAAGATTGCAATATGCCTTGCCATGCTGGGGAGGAACTTATAAAACCTTGATAAATAGATTAAGAACAACACAAAACTTTTTTATGCGGATAATTTTGAAACAACCTAAAAGAACAAGTTCATTTCCACTCTACCAACAGTTAAAAATTTTGCCCAAACAGCACCTTTTTGTTTTCAAAGTTCTTAGACTGTTTTTTGTTCGAAGTGGAAACAGAGTTAAGTCATACCAAATATTACACACACATACATAACAAGAAGCATTACCAATAATACTCTGAAACTACCCAAAGTAAATAAAGCTATTTTTCGTCACTCTTTTCAATATCTAGGTCCAAAATACTATAATTATCTACCACTTCAAATAAAGAATAGTTTAAATTTAAAGCATTTTAGCAAAGCAACGATAATTTGGCTTTCTTCTCAGCAGGACATAAATTATATCAATAATATCCTGTTGTAATAACTTTCATTGTTTATTAAAACAGTTCTTTGTTTTGTCCATCAGATGCACAGTTCAGGCGGAATTCAATGTTTTATAACAGATGCTAGACCATAAATTACAACGTCATGTTAGCCGATAAGTTAGTATAAGCAAACTGGTTACACTACTGGATCAAGTAGCCAGTTCTATTTCTCTACATCTCATGTATTGTTATATTGTGGTTTTTTGTGGGAAATAAACTTCATTATTCATTATTCATTATTCATTATTCATCACTTTACACCTACTCGCCAGCTTTTGAGCAATCTAGCGTGTAAGTAGCCAGTATGAACACAGTTGCTTGTGCTTGTGCGCAGTGTTGGGAAGTAGCGCGCTACAAGTAGCGACGCTACAGTAGCGCGCTACTTTTTTTGTAGCGTTAGCTGTAGCTACACTACTTTTAAGATTTTGTAGCTTTAGCTGTAGCTAGCTACATTTTTAAAGTAGTTGTAGCGGAATTTTAGCTACTTTTCTCGCTACATTAACATTTGTTTGAGATAGTGATTTTTATCATAACCTCAACCTTACGTGAAACAACCTCTTTCAGACTGAGATTTTCAAAAAAATTAGGCCTACTTTCTTGGCTTCAAACAGCTGGTTGCAGCCGTTTCATTCCCTATTACAACGTTGTGTGGACATAGAGGCCATTAAATGAGTGTTATCCACATTTTTGGCTCTCATTTCCTTAATTTACTACTCTATGATTACTGTCAGATAAAATAAAATCGCTAGATGCAGACGACGTTTAAACGGTACCGGTGACAAGAGAAGCTATTGAATTGAATGCTTGCAAGTGATTGACAGGACAGGGGAATTAGTAATCAATTTAGTTTCTTTATTATATCGATAATGCTTCAACTTGGGGTTTAATGGAAACCAACACACCTTGAAATAATGAGAAAGCTGGTCTATCAACCTTTGCTTCAGCTGTTGATTGTGGTTTATCATCACAAGCCCTTCCTTGGTTAGATTACGAAGATTTTTCAAAGGTTTACTAAATTAGCAAAGAGGAAATTACCTGATGAGATTTAAGATATGCCTAGACTACATGATAATTTTAATGAAAAAATCTCCATATAACATGAAACTTACATTGAAAAAATAGCATAGTTTGCTCCTGCTAACAGCTCTTGTATAGGACTGAGGCTATGGTTTAAGACGAATTCCAAACCAAGTTCAATTATTATGAATATATCTGTTTAGTCCTTGCAAGAACAAGCCTACTATAGCCAACTTGTTACATAGCCAAGTAGGCCTACATGTTATTTTTACTTTACAAATTTCATCATGTTTAAATTAAAAGCCGATTTCAGGATAAGTTGCTGAATACTGTTTTCTCTACCAACTAGGTTGAAGCACAATTTGCCCTATGCATAATGACAATAAAAGACGATTTCTTGACATTGAAAAGTGTTATTCGTAGAATAAGTAATTTATCACTTTAAAAGTTATAGCAATGTTGTTTTTAACATTAAAAGTAAAGAAAGGCAATAAACTCCAATTTCAGTAGGCTAGGCTCTGTAACACAAAAAGTATTTTTAAATAATCTTTTTGCAGTTTTATTGGTCTTAATTGTTGATATAAAACATCTATAAATGAATCTATATTAAATTAATAAAATTAGCTTTTAAAATATAGTTTGGTTGTATGTCCTTTGAACTAATGAAAATTACATTTTAAGATGCTTAAAAATAATGCAATATTTAAAAATAATTACTAAATATGATGGGAAACCCAACTATTTGGTTCTGTTGTTGTAATGTTAGGTTTATAATGCCAACAAATTAAATACAATCTAGAAATAATTTGTTTTCCAAGTAATGTTAGATACAATACTGACATTTTTTTAAATGTTTGTTTAATAAAAATGTAGTTGCAATTAATTTTACATTTACCTAATGTGCGTGGAATAAAAATTAACGTCTTTGGAAAAGTAGCTAAAATTGTAGCTGTAGCTACATTTCATTGTAGTTGTAGTTGTAGCTAGCTACTTTTTCGGAACTGTAGCTGTAGCTGTAGCTAAGCTACTTTTTTGGAAATGTAGCAGTAGTTGTAGCTAGCTACATTTTAAAAGTAGCTTCCCCAACACTGCTTGTGCGCATGTTATTCGAATATATGTCGGAGGAGTAGGTGCTACAGGGAGTTAAGTTGTAGCAAAAGTGTTTAAATTTAATTGATTAGACGGCAAGATGAGAAATGGAAAAGGAGGAAAGTGTGGGTGAGACAGTGGGTTTGAAGACGTACGGATTATGGTGCATCAAAAACATTACTTTTGATGTTCTGTTATTTTTCTCCAATCATCAGCTGTTTAAAAAATGTATCCCTCAACGGATTATTGACATAGTTTTCAACTTTGATGTTACACAAGGCTGGGTACTTTTGGTACCTTCATGTTTAGGAACAGAGATACATTTCCCACAGTCCATTTCAGTATAAATGTACGCAAACACCAACACAAAACCAACACGACCAGCAAGATTTCACAAATAAAACACACCCATGTGGTCTGGAAGCCAGCTACTGAGCGAGTGGAAAAAGCATCGTGTGAACGAATACAAGCACACTCGCTGGCTTCTTGTGTAGCTTTTAAACTTGTCCCGTGTGAACGGGGCTGAAGTTTTAGTTTTTGAGATGGTTTAAGGGTACGATCACGGTATATAGTCGGTATATAAGTCGGCTTTAGTCACTAACAAGACTACAAGATCGCGCCACTCATCCTACACTCATTTCCATTCATACTTGGCTTAAAATACCTACTTTGTATAGTCGCCATTTCATTGAAAAAGTATTTTTTTTTAAGTATAGCCGGGACCCCAAGATATGCCCGTGATCTTCGAAGACATTCAGGGTATAGTTGGAAAAGTATGATATGCGTGGGTGACACTACATTACAGGGAGAAGATCACGGTATCGCCGAGACGGCAAGATATGAGAGTGTTTACACAATCGCAGAAGGCGGTCGTTCGTGAATAATAAAATTTCCATAAAAATAATATTTTTAGTAGCCTAACTAAAATTATGCTAACTTTTTACGGGCCGGAAAAAATCTATTTGCGGCGGGCAGGCCACTTGTTGGCGACCCCTGAGTTATTGCTAGAGATAATTTTTAAGTTAAACCTAGGAACATGCATTTTTATAGTGCTTCAATCCAATAACATCAAATACATTTTGAATTTTTTTTATTGATGATACTATCAATAGGCTATGTAAAGCTGAGTGGTTTGAGTGCTTGCCTAGCAATCAGCAGGTCGCTGGTCCAATCCTAAGAAAAGTCTGAATCTTTTTTATTTGTTTGAAACTGGACCAAGCTGGCCTTGATCATTGGGATTTTAATAAGTCCTGGCTAATGAACCAGCTGAACTTTGTAAGTAACAAAACTATCATCCCTATAGCATCTCCCGTTCCTCATCAGTAACTGGCGAGAACCTCTTGTGCGAAGGAGTAGGGGGCGTGACGTCACTCTACTCTTGAGGGAACACCATTACCGTAACGTGACGCTGAGATTCCATCGGTGTTCGTGTCGTGGTTGATAGCGTCTCAGACTGGTAATCGAAGGGTCTCCGGATCGAATCTCGCCGGCAACACTAACTTTTTGTCCAAGATTATGCTTATTTTTTTTACTTTTAACTTTATTTTTTTAAGAACTAGGTATTTTTTTTTATTAGTAAACCTTCAGTCGATTTTTATTTTATATTTTATTATTAGCAAGTTTGGTTAGTTCAGTTAGGTTATGACAGTAAAATTTTTTAATAAAAAAAAATTAAAATTTATTTTATACAGTAACTAGCTGACCCGGCGAACTTCGTATCGCCTAAGTTATAGGTTTCTCCTAAGACAGACCGACCCGGCAGACGTTGTCTTGCCTTTGACTATTTATAATTTAAGTACCGTTACGTTTAATTTTCAAGATGATCTCGTTCGCATCGCTCAATCACGACCTGGTTGAAGTTCGTTTGCTACGCTCACTCACCTTTGGGTTGGAGCTCGTTCGCTACGCTCACTCACCTTTAGGTTGGAGCTCATTCGCTGCGCTCACTTGCCTTCAGGTTAGCTCGTTCGCTACGCTAACTCGCCTCCAGGTTGAAGTTCGTTCGCTACGCTCACTCACCTTTGGGTTGGAGCTCGTTCGCTACGCTCACTCACCTTTAGGTTGGAGCTCGTTCGCTGCGCTCACTTGCCTTCAGGTTAGCTCGTTCGCTACGCTAACTCGCCTCCAGGTTGAAGTTCGTTCGCTACGCTCACTCACCTTTTGGTTGCAAATTAGCTGTTGTCATAAATGTAAAAGAAATAATAGTGCTGCACCCTGTTGGTAATCCTTGTAACTTTAATGCTATTGAACATCATAGAACAGAACCAACTTGTTTAATTGAAACAGCTGTTAAGATTCATTAATTCCATTTCTCATAAGGTTAACATGGGAAACTCCAGAGCCACTGGGGCGAGCCCTTTTAAGAATTTCGAAACGGGAAATAGTTTACGTCCGATTCGCAAACCTACAGAATTTACACACCAAATTTCATAACGATCGGTGAAGTCGTTCCGGAGGAGTTTGCAGACACACACTGTGACACGAGAATTTTATATATTAGATTAAAAATTATAAGTAAACCTTCATTTGATTTTTATCTTAACTTATACCTTTTTTATATTATCAGCAGGTTTGGTTGGTAAGGTTAGGTTATGACAGTTAAATTTTATAATAAAAAAATTAAGTTAAAATTAATTTCATAGTTAAAAATTTATGTTAAAAAATTTAATATTTAAAAATTATTTTATAATTAAAAAGTTAATTTTTCTAACTAAAAAATTATAAAATAAATTTAAAGATTTTCTTAAATTGGCATGAGGGGCTCTCCCACAATCCCCACTCCTTCGCACAAGAGGTTCTCACCAGTTACTGATGAGGAACGGGAGATGGTAGTCTATCATCCCATCCATTTAAACGTAAATCCTGTAATAGTCATCTTCGCCTTATAGTACACACATTGGTGTATCAGTGTCGTATTAACCCCAATCGTATATGGGCATCGGTGGAAGAACAGAAGTTTGAAGCATATTAGGATTTAGCGTCTAGAGTAATATAAAGATCATAATTATGACTGATACTTACAGTTATCTTTCCTAAGCTGTAAGTTATGATGGTCGGTCTCTTTATTGTAAGTGCTCTGACTTCATCACCAGACAAGACAAAAGTCCTTTGGAAGAAACCAAGTCGTTTGTCAATATCAACAGTACTGCAACAAGAACTGGTGTAATAAGTGTTATCCATTGTTAATGTTCACTTTTAATTATTTTAATGAAATGAAATGAAAAAGGGCTTTATTTAACAAAATAAAAGGTTTACAATAATTCAATAACAAATAAAAAGCCTAACTATACAATTACAAAATTTAAAGTTGGCCTAGCACATCAACAATGGTCTTTTGGACTGTCTGTTGGTTGCAATACAATAGATATTAACAGAACAGGCATATTTTCATATTTTATAACAAATAATGGTTTTGCAAGAAAAATAAGTTAAATTTAGTTAATTTACAATCAAAATAACTTGAACTAGAACAGCTATAAAACAGAAGAAAAAAATACCTTATTTGCTCTGGTATGGATGCCTATTGACAGCTAAAAATAATAAAATTAATCTTCATTTAAATTGCATCTCAAAAATTAAATTCTTGAACTAAATCCCACGTACATAGAACCATGCTTCCCTAAAAAATTTCCCGAAATAACTCAAACTTTAATAGTTTAATATTTTCTTATGAAATGGCGACCATACAATGTAGGTATTTTAAGCCAAGTATGAATAGAGATGAGTGGCGCGATCTTGTAGTCTTGTTAGTGACTAAGGCTGACATTCCTTAGACACAGCTGTTAATTAATAGCCCAAACAGCTAATGGCAAATAAGTGACCTACAGTTTATAGTGGAATCCGAACCACATTTCCTTGGTATATACGAATTGCTCTAATTATCAGGATAGTACTGCGGATAGTCTTAATACTCACTAGTGCGGACGTTAATCCACACCAGGGAGTATCGCATCCACAGTGCATGCCTATAAATATCCACAATCCGTGACCTCCTAGTAGCTGGATTACAGGACGACGCCACCCATCCCAGTCTTAATAATTAATAATTAATGAATTCTTCTTGATCGAGAAAATATTTTCCTAGCCATCTGAACCTAACCCTTTTTAAGATCGGACACTCAGCAACAAAATGAAATACAGTTGTTCATCTTTATTTAGATTGCATAGAGAAGAAGTATGATTTCCATTTCTCCATGGCTTGTAGTTCAAATCGATCAGCTGAGCTTTTGAGGTTTTGTTGATCCATGACACAAGCCCTAGGTCTGCGTTATCAGTTAACAATGTCCTGCCGCCGCGGTCAAGTTCAAGGAGCAGATACTGGTCATTTTACTGCGCTGTCAAAGCTTGTCCCTCGCTCCAGCTACACCAGCGCTGTCTCTCTCGTTCAACCACCGTCGTCAGCTGCGCAAGCATACGCTCCCCCTCCACATCAAACAAATCTAATTAATCTCCACACTGAGTTTTTTGCTTAGGGACTTCCAAATCGGTGAACAAGCAACGTTTTTTGAAATAATTTCTCCTAGTAGAAACCTGGGTAAACGATCAGGACCCATTGAAATATAGTTTTCTGAATGTAATTACTGTTGACTTAAAGTGAAAAGGTGAAAAATTTCAAAATTTGTTTCAATATATAACAAGTAGTTTTCTGCATTTGCAGGCAATCTTAACAACTCTTTAATAAACATTTTTTGAACTGCCTCCACTTGTTTGCTTTCATAACAGCCTCATACTTAAGCACTATAACACAGGATTGACCTAATAACAGTATTAAAACAAGTAGGCCTAACCTTTGCACTCAATGAAGCTGTCCTTGATTTTTCTTTAAAATTTACCTCCCAGGACAAAGACGTACTGAACAAAACACCTAGGTATTAGTATTCATTAACAATTTCAACTGGTTTCCCCTTATACGACCATCTGCAATTTTGACTCAATTTGCCTCCTTTTCTGAACACAATAGTTTTTTATTTTGTTTAATTAACTTTTAAGTTCCAACAATCACAATAATTTTCCAAATTCGAAATCATTAGTTGAAGAAAGGTTGCCGTAGGAGCTAAAAACACAATACCATAAGCTATAGAGTAATGAAAAGAAACCATCAAAAGGATAGCAATAGGACAGCACGAAAAACTCAGCTGTGTAATACACTGTTGACTTTTGTTTGACTTTAGCTGCTATGGGGAACATACTAATCTTTTTCTCCCCGCAATGGATCCCTCCCCCTACATATTCTGGCATGTCATTGACAAATAACTAAATGCAGGAGGTGATAAAATACATCCCTGTCTCGAACCCATATTAGTATAAAAAGATGCAGTTGTACACCAAACACTCGATTCTGTTCCAGAATTCATATTTTTGAGCACTGCCAACACTTTACTTGAAACTCCAATACAAGATAATTTTAAAATAAGGACATTTCTATCAATAGTATCAAACGCAGACGAGAAATCTACAAAAAAGGGAAAAGTCTTGCCCCTTCTAGGATTGAGTTTGAACTAATTATTGAATAGAGATTAAAAAGTTATAAGGTTTCCCAACAGGGTGCAGCACTATTATTATTTTGTTTTTGCATATTATATGACAACAGCTAATTTGAACTAAGCAGCAACAAAACGCTGTGATACAAAATGAGAACTGTCAAGGTAGGATTGTTTATAGTTAGGTTTGAGATTTTAATTTAATGAATAATTTGTGATATTGTGCGAATGTTTGATAATTTATTTTTTTATATTGTTAAGGTGCAGTAGTAGAACATTAGGAGAATAGTAGATGTGTTACACTATATCATACCGTAAATTTATGAACCAAATTTTATCAAACTGTGTCCTCCCCCATTGCAAACGCAAAGCTTGAGTAAGCTGCAATAAGCATTTTATAATTATATGCCAACCCCGTACGAAGGACGGGTGCTCCGCTAGCATAGAATTATAGAACCAACTTGTAAAGTTGAAACAGCTGACTAAATTCTTTAATTCCCTTTAAATATGAATACTCATAAGGTTAACATGGGGAACTATAGAGCCACTGGGGCGGAGCCCGAAAGGATTTTTGAGATAAGAATATGCCTTAATGTTAATCGGGAATGTGAGCTATCATCATGCCAAATTTCAGCCCAATCCGTCCAGTAGTTTATGCCTGATTGAGCAACACACACACAAACTCACAAACTTTCAAATTTATAATATTAGTAAGATTGTGGAGTAGACCAGCTTGAAATTCAGTTAAAATGTTGTTATTGGAAATCCATTTTGTTAACCGTGTTGTTAATTAAACTGGAAAATATTTTGCTTATACAATTGATAAAGGAAAGCCCCCTGTAATTTTCAACCCGTTTCACATTTCCCTTATTCTGTAACGGGAACACTGTGGACTTTTTGAAACTGTGTGCCACATTACTTTTGGCAAACATTTTGTTGTATAAATCTAATAACTTTAAAAGAAAAATTTTTGGGGAATTCTTAAAAAACTCATACACGGCACCCTGTCTATACCTGGAGCCACAGAGCATAGAATAAATATAGAGGCGGCACTTGCCGTCTGGAGTGAAGCAGGCTTCTCGTACCAAGATGGCGGCCGGCCCGGTCTGCATTTACATTTAAACCATTATATTGTTACATGGAAACCACCAATCAATATTTACTTTTGAAATTACACCAACTATATTACTCTCACCTCCGAACTTTGAAAGCTCGCGGGGCAGAGTTCTAGGTCAATATCAAAGGGGGGGATAGTTCTATACGTAACCTCGGAGCGGTAGCTTCATCTAATTCATAAAGTATCATAGAATAACACAGTGGTAATGACGTCGTGTTTTCAAAGTTCCGAGCCCGACTCTCTTACCAAGATGGCGGAAATCGGCTTCTTTACTGGTATAGCTGTAGGTATAGGAGTGGCGACTCTATATTTATTCTATACTCTGTGACCTGGAGCCTTATTACACTTTACCCTAGGGAGCATAATTTCAAGTTCATGTAGTGTAAAGCTAGCGTCGAGATCGTAATCAACAATCAGGGGAAGTGCAAAGCTGACACTAGTAGACGACCGCGGTGGGTTGAGCAAGTTCTGGAAGTGGTTGACCCACGTGACCGATGCAATATCTCCTGCAATACTATCGCTATCCTTTCTTTTAAAAGTCCCCATTGCTTTCCAAACATTGTCAATCGTCCAACACACAATTGTCCAGACATTGAATAGTCATTGAATAGTCATTTATTCAGTCTTTAAACAATACATTATTGTAATTGACATCGTCATTATTATTGTAAAAGATATAAGATACGATACTTATAATTATTAAAATTTGACATGAAAATACCAAAATATAGGCTGCCCTTATAGAACATTTAACAGGTTTAAAATAATTTTAAAAAAATAAAAAATAGGCAAACTTAACAAACTTAAATTATGAATAATAGTGGGTCTTTCTTAAAAAGGCTAATGGTTATCACAGGTGTACAATGAACATAGAGGGACAAAATTACTATTAATTATAACATTGTCAAACAATTGTCAATCAATAGCGCAAAGTGTGTTTTTTTCTTATCCCTACACAATTTTTTAAACAGTCGTTGGCATTCTAAAGATTTAGCTTTTAATTATTTTAAATGATAGTAGATATTGAGGATCTACATTGTACAGTTTCAGTGATGAAGAAATACCCATTATTTGTTACAATATTCATAAGATCCTTTGACTATTAATTACGGTTACATGCAAATTATTTAAAAAGTAATAATGTTAGGGTAAGCTATGGATTATTAATTTTAAATTTACTAAGAATATAATAATCTGTGCTCATTATTACTACTACAGAAACAAAAAATTTAAAGGAAACAAATCTACTCTTCTACTTGTAGATCCTGATTACTTCACCAACTTGATAATACGGATACATACAGGTTTACACAATTGATATATTTCATAAATTTTGAGAATCTTAATGAGTTTTTGTAGTTCTTACAAAGAAGTACGGTACCTAAGGGAGTATGTTTTATCTATGACGGTACATAGCTTTTTGAAAATATTTTTGTTTCTGGGGACCCTACAACAAAAAATACAAAGATCTCAGACCTGGAATACATCATGAAGATTATAGTATAATAACCACTTCCCTATTCAAAAATTTTAAAAATTTATTGATAGGCTATGGATTTGTATTATCTTTTTACAAATGAGATAGAAACCTTTGACATCAAAGTATTAATTTTGGTCATATAAAGTAATACATTTTCTAAACACATTTTACTTAAGACTTAGGCCTATTGAGTTTTTAAATAAATAAATAAATAAATAAAAAGGCCTTTATTTACAAGCGAGTTTCATATACATGATTTTCAAACTTACTCAAGTCAAACTAAAACTAAACTAACCTAATATATACATAAATTTAATATACAAAAAAAACTACAAAGAAAAAAACATTTACAATTTGCATTTGTTTTTCTGCATTGCGGCCCTGAATGAGCCATACGATTTGGAGCTCTTTATGTCCTGAGGGAGGCCATTATACAACTGCGGGCCAAAATAAGAAAATGACTTTCTTCCAACCTCACGCCTCACTTTAGGAAAGTGAAGCCTGCGGTCGGAACGAGTACCACGCAGGCAGATCTCCCCCCTGTACTTAAGCCTCTCGCTGAGGTACTGAGGCTCTCCCAGCGTGAGCACTTTGTGGACCAGGCAGCAGGTCAGCCTCCTGCATATTTCATCCATTGGGATGAGCTTTGCAGCATCTCGGAAGGAGGACACGTGGTCAAAGCGGTTAAGGCCAAAAATGAACCTTATTGCAGAATTTTGAATTCTTTGAACTCTTGCCATATTCTCCTTAGAGATGCTGTTTCCATATGCAGGAAAGCAATATGTAAAGGCTGGGAGGACCAAGGACCGCATGAGTTGCATTTTGGCATATTCTGGCAGTAGAGTTTTAAATCTGCTAAGACCTCTCAGTCTACCCACTGCGCGTTGAACTGCAGATGTGACATGGTCAGAAAAAGAGAGGTCTTTGTCAAGTACAACACCAAGTGTGTTGACAGTGTCGCAAACAGACAATCTCATGCCATCAAGGGTGACTTCTATAGCAGATTTACTCAATTCCTGCATCATAATGTTTGGTCCAGTATGCATGACTACACACTTGTCAACATTCAATCCAAGGCCATTCATGACAGACCATTGAAAAATGCTGTGCAAATCAGCATTGATGAGCCGGATTGCTTCTGATGTCTTGTCTGGCTTGTATGACAAGTGTAGTTGGCAGTCATCAGCATACAAGTGTGCTGTACAATATTCTACACTTCTGGACAAGTCAGACGTGTACAAATTGAACAGCACAGGTCCTAAACAACTACCTTGAGGAACACCACGCAATTTGCAAAGCGGATCTGATGTCTCACTCCCAATTTTGGTAACCTGCAGTCGGGACTCCAAATAGGACCGAAACCAACAAACAACTTTTTCACTACAGCCATAGCACTTCATTTTGGCCAATAACAATTCATGATCAATAGAGTCAAATGCTTGGGAATAATCTAGAATAGCTAATGTGCTGTATAGGCCTTTATCTTTGGCATCGAATAGATCCGCAAACATATTAGTCAGTGCAGTACAAGTACTGTGGTTTTTTCTAAACCCTGACTGTAGCTTAGGCAATATATCAAAGTCATCTAGAAATGAAGCAATTTGTTTAGTTACTATCTTTTCCATTATTTTTGACATTGCAGGTAACACGGAGATAGGTCTTAAATGCTGGACGGTTTTTGGCGCAGCAACCTTAGGCAATGGTTTCACATGGGCAATCTTCCAACTTGTAGGGAAAACACCTGAGGCCAGACTCATGTTTATCAAATGTGTTATTGCTCCAATTGCATATGGGCTAACAGATCTTATCATTTGTATCGATATACTATCAACACCTACAGCTTTTGATTTTATTGAGTTCATTGCCTCTTTAACATCATTTTCTGAAATCATTTTAAATTCAAACTTATCGTTATCTCCATGTTTTTTATATTGATGAAGTTTATTTAGCAATTCAATGTCTATATCATTACAAGATCCCATATTGACAAAATATTCATTTATCTTATTAATGTCTAAATCTGGGGGGAGCCTACTATTTCTCTTACTACTTACAATCTCACAATTTTTTTAAACAATTCCAGAACTCTGCAGGGTTTTCACATGAGGCAAGCTTGTTAGAAAAGAATAATTTCTTAGCCTCTTGGATCATGAAATTCAAACTATTTCTTATGGTTTTATACTCATACCAGTCTGAAGAATCTCTGGTCCTCCAATATTTGTTACGGTGTTTATTTTTAACAATTGACAATTCTTTAATTGTTTCATTTATCCAGGGAGCTTTTTTCCGTGTTACCTTCTTACAAACAATAGGAGCAACCTCATCAAACACTTTCTTTATATGATCAGTAATAAATTGCTCTATCTCATCAGGAGACTCTAGCTTGTACACACAATTCCAGTTAGTATCAGCAATTATGTTTAGTAAGTGTTTTAATAAGTTTCAAGTAAAAAGAAGAGGTATTTAGGTGTTAACAACTCAGTTAGGCCTACTTTTAGTAAAAAGTAAAAGAGTCAAGTCGAGTTAAAAAACTCACAAACCTGAAGCTGAGCCATGATGGATTCCTCGTAACGATTCTTGAAATCATTTCAGTGGTAAACTTTTTGGCTTCCAAGTAATTGATACGGATTTGTAAATCTTCCAAGTCTTCTCGAAAAATGAGCGGATTTTTCGTAATAAATCTTCCAAATTCTTCAGTAGGAACTCCGACATCATGTAAAAATCTGAAAGTAATAATAATACTACACAGTTTGAAAGTGGCTGAACTTGTGGATTAGCCTAGAACTGTTTTATTAAAAATATTCTCTAGGCTATATCAAGTCACGTTCACACGAAGCCTGTTTGGCAGGAAGGTTACCTGGCTCAGGTAACATTGAGGTAGGTAGCCTGCCTACCTACTGGCCTCGTATAAACACGGCTTTACTGAAAATGTTAATACTTATTGACAGCTATTACTATCTCCCATATTGTGTTGCTGGTTTACTTTGCTTTCAATGGAAAGGTGGATGTTCAATGGTAACAAGACCAGGGTTTGGACTGTTCCATTGAGGGCCTACAAAAAATGAAATAAAAATGCCAATGGAGTGAATAGACACAAAATAATAAGTAATATATTGTATCAGGCTATGCTTTCAATATTTAAGTAACTAATATTGAAGAGCCTAACTTATGCAAAGAGAGAATAAAAACTTACCCAACCCAACCTTTTGATTAATACCGGTAGCAATAGTAAGTGCATCCATTTTCAATATTATATCATTTGTTGCCGAATCAAATACAATAATTACCTACCGGTACTTACAGTCTAATCTTACTATCTTACTAATATTATAAATCTGAAAGTTTGTGAGTTTGTGTGTATGTTTGTGTGTATGTTTGTGTGTGTGTTTGTGTGTGTGTTTGTTGCTCAATCACGCATAAACTACTGGACGGATTGGGCTGAAATTTGGCATGATGATAGCTTACATTCCCGATTAACATTAAAGCATATTCTTATCTCAAAAACCGTTTCGGGCTCCGCCCCAGTGGCTCTGTAGTTCCCCATGTTAATCTTATGATTTTTCATATTTAAAAGGAATTAATGAATCTTAACAGCTGTTTCAATTAAAAAAGTTGGTTCTGTTCTATGATGTGCAATAGCATAAAAGTTACAAGGATTACCAACAGGGTGCAGCACTATTATTTTTTTTTAATTTATGACAACAGTTAATTTCCAACCAAAAGGTGAGTGAGCGTAGCGAACGAACTTCAACCTGGAGACGAGTTAGCGTAGCGAACGAGCTAACCTGAAGGCAAGTGAGCGCAGCGAACGAGCTCCAACCTAAAGGTGAGTGAGCGTAGCGAACGAACTTCAACCAGGACGTGAATGAGCCATGCGAATACTTATGAAGTTAAACGGGGCAAAGCCCGCGGGTACAGCTAGTAATATTATAAATGTGAAAGTTTGTGTGTTTGTTTGTTTGAAGTTCAATCACGCATTAACTACTGGACAGATTGGGCTGAAATTTGGCATGATGATAGCTCACATTCCCGATTAAGATATAGGCATATTCTTATCTCAAAAATCCTTTCGGGCTCCGCCCCAGTGGCTCTATAGTTCCCCATATTAACCTTATGAGTATTCATATTTAAAGGGAACTAGCTGTAACCCGCGGGCTTTGCCCCGTTTAAATTCTTAATTTTCAAGATGATCTCGTTCGCATGGCTCAATCACGGGTTGAAGTTCGTTCGCTACGCTCACTCACCTTTAGGTTGGAACTCGTTTGCTACGCTCACTCACCTTTAGGTTGGAGCTCGTTCGCTGCGCTCACTTGCCTTCAGGTTAGCTCGTTCGCTACGCTCACTTGCCTTCAGGTTAGCTCATTCACTACGCTGATCCGCCTCCAGGTTGGAGCTCGTTCGCTACGCTCACTCACCTTTACGTTGGAGCTTGTTCGCTGCGCTCACTTGCCTTCAGGTTAACTCGTTCGCTACGCTAACTTCCCTCCAGGTTGAAGTTCGTTCGCTACGCTCACTCACCTTTTGGTTAAAAAATAAATAATAGTGCTGCACCCTGTTGGTAATCCTTGTAACTTTAATGCTATTGAACATCATAGAACAGAACCAACTTTTTAATTGAAACAGCTGTTAAGATTCATTAATTCCTTTTAAATATGAAACATCATAAGGATAACATGGAAAACTCCAGAGCCACTGGGGCGGAGCCCGAAAGCCCGATCAGAATAAAAACTACTTAGTTGTCCTATTTAATGCCCAAATAATCGGTGTACCGAATTTCAGCCTCGTAGGTAAATGGGAAGTGGGAGAATTAGTGATGAGTGAGTGAGTGAGTGAGTGAGTGAGTGAGTGAGTGAGTCAGTCAGTCAGTCAGTGAGGGCTTTGCCTTTTATATATATAGACTAGCTGTAGCCGCGGGCTTTGCCCCGTTTAACTTCACAAGTAAACTCGTTTGCGTGGCTCAATCACGTCCTGGTTGAAGTTCGTTCGCTACGCTCACTCACCTTTAGGTTGGAGCTCGTTCGCTCCGCTCACTTGCCTTCAGGTTAGCTCGTTCGCTACGCTAACTCGCTTCCAGGTTGAAGTTCGTTCGCTACGCTCACTCACCTTTTGATTGCAAATTGGCTGTATTCATAAATTAAAAAAAATATTAGTGCTGCACCCTGTTGGTAATCATTGTAACTTTAATGCTATTGAACATCATAGAACAGAACCAACTTGTTTAATTGAAACAGTTGTTAGATTCATTAGTTCCTTTTAAATATGAAAAATCATAAGGTTAACATGGGAAACTCCAGAGCCACTGGGGCGGAGCCCGAGAGTCCGATCAGAATAAAAACTACTTAGTTTTCCTATTTAATGTCCAAAGAATCGGTGTACCGAATTTCAGCCTCGTAGGTAAATGGGAAGTGGGAGAATTAGTGATGAGTGAGTGAGTGAGTGAGTGAGTGAGTGAGTGAGTGAGTGAGTGAGTGAGTGAGTGAGTGAGTCAGTCAGTCAGTAGTGGTGGGAATCACCGAATGAAAATAACCGAATCAATCGGTTATTGATGCTGAATAGACTAATTCGGTTATTTTATCCTGGTTCGGTTAAATTAGTCTTACCACCGTGTGATTCGGTGATTTAGTTATTTAGTTGATTTAGTTTGTCACATTATCAGGTAACTAAAATTTATTCGGTGATTCGTTTGACTAAAAATTGCCGATTGACGCTAAAAGAGTAAATGCCATTCAGTGTCCCATAGGATAAAAATTAGTTGTGCTTTGTGACAGTGAATAATGACTAAAATTGAAAATTGATTCGGTGATTCATTCAACTAAAAATAACCGATTGACGCAAAAAATAACTGGTTGATTATTCGGTCATGGAACCCAATCGGTTATCCCATCACTATCAGTCAGTGAGGGCTTTGCCTTTTATATATTTAGATTAAAGAATTTAGTCAGCTGTTTCAACTAATAAAGTTGGTTCTATGATATGGGAAAGCATTAAAAAGTTATAAGATTAACCAACAGGGTGCAGCATTATATTTTTGGCATTTATGAAAACAGCTAATTTGAACTAAGCAGCGACAAAAAACTGAGATTCGCAATTAGAACTGTCAAAGTAGGATTGTTTACAGTTATGTTTATGTTTTTAATTTCATGAATAATTTGTCATATTTTGCAAATTGTTGATAATTTATTTTTCTCTATTGTTTAGGTGAAGTAGTAGAACATTATGGCTATGGTAGATGTGTAATACTATAGAATACTGTAAATTTAAAAAAGCAAATTTTATCAAAACTTTCTGTGTCCTCCCTTATTGCAAACGCAAAGCTTGAGTATAACTACTTATGTGAAGCTGCCATAAGCATTTTATACTTATATTCCAGCCCCGTACGAAGGACGGGTACTCTGCTAGTCTTAAATATTTCTCACAAATAACTTGGGATTGATGTAACCGATGAAGTTGTAAGGCCTGCCAAAATTCATCATGCTCATCGATGTTCAATACTATCAAGTGATAAGTTAGGCCTACCTTAAGCTTAGTAAGTAAATAAGTATTTAATTAGGCCTATATAAATGATTACATAAGCCTTACATAATCATTCCTACCTTAAATACGGTTTTACTTGTTTTTCAAAGTTTAACTTCAAAATGTATTCAGCAACTTCTGGTTTCTTTTCCAATACATTGAGTTTAACTCCCAGAAGAACAAACTGTTGCAATGTAAACGAATCATTGACATATGCAGCAAGATTAAACGATGGTGATGCAAAAGGTCCTATGTCTGAGACGTCTTCCTTACAAGCATCCAAAGCATCGGTTTCTGTATCTTTTATCACAGCAACATCGCTTGTTGTAATAGTATCAAGATTGATATTTTTGCTTGGACTAGATTTGTCTTTAATAAGGGGGATAGGAGATTCACTAATAATAGAGGGTGCCACTTCATTGTGATATAATATTCTAGTCTGAGTTTGTAAATAGCGCTGAATTAATCTGTTTGGGGGAGTTTCAGGGGAAGGATTTTGGCAATTTTTCCAAATATTAGAGACTATTGCTGCTTGAGTATTTGGTTTTATTCTAAAGCTCAAAATAAATTTGGCTAGATTGGGTGTCATCTTAAACAAAAATATTAATCTATATGGACATGAAATTTGATTTTATTGATTACTAACTCTTAAAATTTACACTAGATCAGTTGATTATCAATTCATCAAGTTACCGATTGGAGTTGAATAGCAACAGTATTCCTTTTACAGTTTTACCTTGCGATAAAAGGTTAAAGTCTCATATCTAACTGAACCCAACGCACATCATGAAACAATATTATGTCTCACTCACATATCAAATAATGAAATCGAAAAAAAAAAATTTAAATTAAGCAAATTTGTTTGTTTATTTGATAACTTAACCTAATAACCTAATGTTAGGTTATGTCCCGCTGGCGCTGCCCGCTGTACCAGAGACCGAGAGACCAGACAGACCACCAGAGACCAAGAAACAGCTGAGTCCATTTCAGCCAAAGCCAAAGAGCTAAATCAATTTCAGCTGTTTCTAGAAATGGACTAAGACCACAGAAAACATACCATTTTTTTATAGTATGTTTTCTTTGCTAAGACTTAGTGTTCTTCTTGTTCTTTTCTTACGACCACTGCTTACGACTTTTAGTTGTAAAATGGGGGGAAAAAGTGGCCTTAATCAGAATTTTCAACAATCAATTTTTAAGCTGGGTTTTCCTAGGCGCGGAAGCGGAGAGCGGAGAGCGGAAAACAGATTAACACGGTGTTCCGCTCCGCTTCTAGGAAAACAGTAACATTAATATACCATAACATTAATTAGTACTGTACTTGTTAAACTAATTCTATTTAAATAGGAAATATATGTTATATTTTTTGTAAGTAGACATTTTAGTGTAAATCCAATCAGGCAAATGGAAATTCGTTTAGTCTGCAGGTTTGCTGTGGTGGGGGTATTTTTATAGCTTGTTTTTGAGGTATGGAGACATAAGATGGATGGAGCATCAGTCCTCTAGTGGGGCCTTGATCAGTGTCAACGACACGAACATCAAACAATATGCATCCATAGTCCATCTGAGTCTCCCATGGCCATACGCCTCTACAAGCTAAATCAGCTTTTATCACAGGTTAAGGAATCTGTGCTAAAAGATCTACTGTACCAAGAAATTGACTACCCTTACAAATTTGCATACCTGATATTTTCTTTTTAAATTGTTTGGAAATATCATGATTAAAAATTTATTTTATTTTATTAATTTGAGGAAAGTACCCATATTTTTTACCTAATTTTGAGAGCTGTTCCCACCATTCCACATCATCAAGGGTGCCTTGTCAAGAAGAGTCACCTGCATACCAAACATGAGATGTATTCGGCATTCTTTATTCTTTATAGTTCTTGTATTAATGGAAGTGTTTTGCCAGGGCGTATAATATCATTGATAGTGGATCTCCTATAGGGTAACTTCTTCTTCTCTATACAATCTTTGATTACTTCATTGGAAAATTAAACCTGAGCTACATTGATAAGTATTATAAATGACTCTTGCAGCTCTTGGCCAATGGACTCTTGCTTGCCATAAAGAATGAATTCGCACTAAAAATCATTACTTTGAGCAAATGGTCTCGGCTGGCGTGTCCTATAGGGCTTCTGCGTATTTGCGAGATTGTTGGTGCGTGTGCGTGTGAGAGTGTGAACGTGTTTTCTTTTGTCTTTTCTATTTATATTAATTATTATTTTGTAAAATTGAATTTTTGTTAAATCTGTTCTTGATGTGTTAAATATATATATTTATATTCGATTAAGAAATTTCATTGTATTTTTATTTATTTATATTTAAGTTTGTCAGGTTAAGTGTAAGAGAGGGCCATGTGGCCTTAACTTTGCCTGGTTAAATAAAGAATTTTTCATTTAATTTTCATTTCAATTCATTTTCATTTTATTTCATTTCAATTCTGTTTATTTTGTTGAAGGCATTATCTGCGTCAACCAGGATCACACACCATTCTTTGTTTGTATTACTATGTTCACTATATTGCGTTCGCATGAAATGTATTCCTCCCTCCACACCAGATTTGGGCCCTCCACAAAGTTGATCTGTACCTAATGCTTGTTTTACATCATTACCAAAAGCTAAAATTACGCATTTGGCCAGAATGCGTCTGAGACATTCTCCTATTCCAATGGACCTCACACCTGTACATTTGTCAATTGCAATGAAACTATTTGCCATCAGAGCTCTTATGGTGTGCCATGGTACTACTTCTCCATTTAATTAATCGCCAAGGTGGCTATGGCTGTTCTTAAATAAGTACTTTTCGTCCATGACGCAATAAAAAAATCTGTCCAATTTTCGGATGAACTTCCTCCTGGACCTCCAGGAGGTCTACACCATGAAGTTTTCTTGCTATCTTTTCTAAATGTTCATGTTCTGATGTTATTTCTGCATTTTCAAGCTTTGGAATTTTGTCCATGCCATCTGGTAATCTGCCATCTGAGTAAAAATGTCTGGAATTATAGCCTTTGTATGTTTTTCTTTCAATCTATATCTATAAAAGAGGAACTATGTATGTATGTATGTATGTGTGTACATATGTATATACGTTATGGACTCCGAAACCAATCGACAGATTGTAATGAAACTTTCAGGCATTATTAAGCATCTTTCAAGGATGGTTTGAGTGAAGTTTGGTACAGATCCGTCAAAAGGGCTCTGCCCCAGAGGGTTCTAAGTGGGCATTTTTTTTTTATTTGTTTACTTTACAATCTGTTCTATAACATATTGAACAATAAGTAAATGCTACGTAATACAACAAATTAACTTTTGAACATTAAAAATAGCTGTTAAGAATTGTCAGCAACAAATTTTTCAATAAAAAAAACTATGCAAAAATCTTAAGGGCAGGTCTAGAATTGATGGCCTCTTAAGTCTGTAAATTGTATCCATGTTGTTTAATAAATGAGATTCCAATTTCGTAATATATCGTTCACTTAAGGTCATGATTTCGTCCTTAACTGTAGGCATCTTAAGGTCTTGATGTAGTGTTCTATTGCTGACATACCATGGTGCATTTGTTATCTTCCTCAGCATTGTTGATTGGTATCTTTGGGTAATTTCTATATTAGAAGTACTCGCCGAGCCCCATAGTTGCACTCCTTTGCTGTAAATTTAGAGAAGCTTGAAATGGATCACGATGAACAGACAAAATTGCAGTATCATCCGCAAATGTAGCAATTTATACCAACTCATTTTCTGGAAGGTCTGCTGTGTAGAGAATGTACAAAAACGGCCCGAGGACACTTCCTTGAGGAATCCCAGATTCAATTGGACGTAGGTCAGTGAGGACATCTTGATATTTAATTTGGAAAGTCCTGTTTTGAAGGTAGGATTTTAAAATGGTATAAATTGACTGGGGTAAACACATTTTCACTTAATATAACAAGCCAGCATGCCACACCTTATCGAATGCCTGGCTAACATCCAAGAAGGCAGCTGAGCAAAACTTTTTATCTTCCATACATTGACGTATCACGTCAACAACTCAGTGAACCTGTTCTACGTTACTGTGTTTCCGTCTGAAACCAAACTGATGTGCAGGAATCACATCTTCGCCAATTAGGTCTTGTATCCTTTTTAGAAGAAGTTTTTCAAATAACTTAGAAATTATTGGTAAAAGAGTTATGGGTCGGTATGAACTTACCTGGTCAAGAGGCTTCCCAGGTTTAGGAATGACTATCAATTGTGCTCTTTTGAAATGATCTGGTACATATTCAAGTTTTAACATTGTATTAAATAAAATAGTCAAAAACATTATTCCTTTTCGTGGAAGCTCTTTAAGTATTTTACCAGTTATGAGGTCGTAGCCAGGAGCCTTGTCAGAATGAGGATTTTCGGTGATGATTGATTTAAGTTCTGATGGTTTGAACTTCTGCAATGGGAAGTCAAGTTGTAGCGGAGCATCCAAATATTCAAGTAGGTATCTCTTCCTCGTTGTTTATTGCCGCATTTGGTTTGAACACATTCTCAAAGTATTGAGCAAAGGCTTCAGACTTCTCTGTGTTACATTTTGCTCCCATCAGATTTTAAAATAGGCGAAATTCAAATCTTTGGGCGCTTCATTCGCTTCGTAGATTTCCAGAGAGAATAATCCGTAGCTTCGGAAGTTGATAGAGATTGGGTGTAATTCTCAAACCAGCGATTTTTTACATCATATAACAGCCACTTCAAATGTCGAGATGCCCTATTACGATTTGTTTTATCGACTGGATTCCTGCTATTTTGCCAGATTCTTCTCAACCTTCTTTTTTCCGCAATCTTCTTTTTAACAAAAATAGGGTAACTTAATCCAGGTTTCGACAAATAATGAAGGACAGGAGTTGACGTACTCCCAGAATTTTGAATACAAGTTATACATAAGCCAATGGCGTCTTCTAAATTTTGATTGCTTTGTAATTGAATTTTTAAGTTTAAATTTTTGTTTACTTCTTGACGAAAAAAGCCCCAATTAGTGCTCTTATTGTATAACCGTTCAGTTGCTTTTTGATGAAAAACTTGCGTACTGATTTGCAATATTATCGGTGAATGGCCAGAATGGTCGAGACTTGATTGGATATTAGTGTAGTTTTGATTAATACCTTTTGATATGAAGAAGTCCACAGTCGGCCAATAAGTAGGTTCACCTGTTGAAATATGATTTAGAGTGCTGTCATTAATTACCCTCAGCAACTGTGTTGACCTCTTGGTGTGGCCAAGCGTGAACCCCACTCTTGATGTTTGACATTATAGTCTCCTCCAGCGATGAACCTAGTCCCTAGAGTAAGTAAAAAATCGGTCAAAATGTTCATAAGCTATAACATGTCTTGGAGGGTAGTAAATTGCAGAAAGAGTAAGAGGTCCTTGCATGTCTTCGAGAACAATGCTTGAAGCTTGCAGGTACTGTTCCCTAAAACCTGGAATTTCATGATGTTTTATACAGTTTTTAACCAATATGGCACTACCTCCGTGATCTGTATTGTCCGAGTGGTTTGTAAAGTATAAAGTATAATTTGGAATTTTAAAATAGCTTCTATCTGTAAAATCAGTCTCAGCAGTAAGTAAAACGTCTATTTTAAGATTATTTATAAACAATTGAACTTCTTGACCATGCTGAGCCAAGCCATTGGCGTTCCAAAGAGCAATTTTGAGAACAATATTCATTTTAAACTATAAATGACTGTTGTTAACAGATTAATAAGTGTACCTATTAATCTGTTCTGCTTGCTTGGATAGTATACTTTCGAAGCGAGCAAACGAATCTTGAATTATGAATGACAAACCTGCTTCTTGTTCTGTTACTTCGACTTGCTTTCTTGAATCACAGCCCTCATAACTGTTTCTTGTAGCTTGTGCAAACGAAATA